TCTAATAGGTAGGAACTGCTGTAAGCAAGTGGAAGATTGTAATACAGATGTGTGGGACTTTGCTATCTAGCTTATATTGTTTTCAGTACCCTGGAAGCCCAACAGGGTGAAGAAAGGCCCTTTAGCACCTGGCAAGCTCATTACCAAAGCCAGCTTTGTTAGCCCACTGTGGCAAAGCTAAATGTAGTATTTTAGTGCCAGTTTGCACTGGAAGCTATCGGTGTAGCGGGATGGAATGTTAAGTCAGTGATAAATACAAGTGCTGCTGGTTAAAAATGATTTTTTTACTAAGACTGCAGTAGTTGAGATGCACCATTTTGTACTGGGGAGGAAACCTGGTAACAATGGCAGTAAATAACATCATCATGTTATTTATTGCCAGTGTTGGCTCTTATAGGTGATGGGTTTGTGGCTGGAGCCTGGTGCCTACCATGGCACCACAGCAGACGACCTTGCAGGACCAGGTTGCTGCAGGACGAGCCCCTTTGGGCTGCCAACAGAAGTGGTGCCATTGCTGCCCGACTGCTGCTTGCTGATGGTCCATCCTCTCCTCTGTGGAGCAATTAGACTTGTAAATGAAGGGGGTTAAAATATTAATGACCGTACCAAGGCAGTGTGCGGAGGGCTCGGCTCCTCACTGCGTTATGAAGCCTGCTGAGAGGCTGGCAATGAGCTGTAATGCAAAGACTGGGTTAGGTAAAGCATTTAAAATGTTCTCACGATGTATACTAATTTAATTATCTATAATAGAATTAAATTGATCATATACAGCGGGGAAAGGACAAAAATAAGGCGGACTGAAGCAGCGTGGCCACTGAGACTTGACTCTTCTGCTGCTGAGGGTGAAGTAGTTGAGAATCTTTGGGCTTGCAATGGCCCAAATGTGCTCATTTTCATGTAAAAGGTTGGTGCAGCAGCTGGGCCCAAGGTGCTGTGTCAAAGCAGGGGAAGCTTCTGGGCTGACTTGCAGAGAGCATTCGAGACACTGTTCTTTGGGTTATTTATTTGGGGCTTTAATTCACCTTTTGACTTTTACCTCTGGATATGACTCAGGTTTTCAGTAGTTCTGTCTTGCCTTTGCTTTGTCTTACTGAGCAAAGGGAGGATTAGTATTTCTTTAGTAAAGCAAGCCAAACCCAAATACAAAGAGCTTTTGGCTATGAAACAGCAGCAGGTTTCCAGGTCTTTGGACTCAGCATACTCAGCAAGGCACAGGTTTGTGTGCGGTGGGGAAGCAGGATGCTCAAATCCAGCTCCAGGTTGCGTGCAAAACAATTCCACACACCAAACCAAAGAAAACACAAAGCTAATAGTGATTATTTCTTATTTCCTCCCCTATTTCTCCCCCTTCTTCCTTATTCTCTCCCCTCCCTGCTGCTACTTTGGTCTTGAGCCTCTGGCATGGCAATAGATAACGTTTATCTTCATGCACAGACTAAGTAGGACTAATTTCAATCATTTCTTTTCCTTTAGTCATCACAAAAGAGCGTTTAAGGCAAAGATATATTGTCCCTGCTGTCTCTCTTGTTGGAGAGGTGTGTTGCTTTTATGAGGCCCATCCTGCTGAGTGAATAGCTCTTTCTTTAGGGACCCACTTCAGTATTTGGAGGTCCAGAAGCAGCAGCAGCTGCTCCCACTGCCTGGGAATGGAGGGCAAGAGACTGAATTTGGGACACTGGGGTTATTTCCATAGGTGTAAAGTCTTTGGTGTAGGAAAAAAAGGAGCTGGTTGTTCTTGAGAGTAAGATCCAGAGAGCTTCATAGTGTTAAATACCGATTCCTATTTTGCAGATGCCAGTTATTAGGTATACCAGGAAGAGTAATAGTCAACAAAAGATGAATAATGCTCCCCAATTTGGAGAGCCATTGGTGTTTGAAGTGAGATCCCTGGCACACAATGATTAGTTCAGCTTTGGCTTGTGGCTACTCTGAGGCTTTGAGGAAGAGCACTTGAAGCTGTTCGGCTTGATGAGAACCAATTGCAGCACGTGAAGCTGTTGTACCCTGGAAGGGCCAGCCACTTTGCCCATGTTTTGCTCAGTCATCTCCCATTTAAAGCAGATGGTGGGCCCGTTGTGTAACTGAGCAGACAGCTTTGTTGCAAGATGCAGCCAAATCGGGTGCTGCTTCACGTAAGACTGAACAAGAACTCATTTCTGGGGGTTTCGGCCCTCCCTGTTCTACTTTGAGTTTGGAGGATGAAGTTATTCCAGGGGGTGAGATGAATGGAAACCTCCCTTGGTTATTAATAACTCACTTGGGTCTTGAGGAAACACAAGGAATGCTGAGCAGCACTATGTAGTAAAAACAGAGTCCACGTAAGTTTGCAGGATGAGCCCACAGGTTCAGCACATGGGGGCATATTGAACCCACAGAATGGGCCGTGTGGGATCCCATAAGGGATTCCTTCATCCCTGACCATGTAATGCCTTGGGCAGAGAAGCTAAGTGCACTGCGTGTGATTTTCAGGAGCAGCCTCTTAGTTTCCCATTTCACAGGGGATAGTGTCCAACACAAAGCTCCATGAGCAGCACCAAGGGGACATCTCCTGGTCCTGCCCTGGCTTGTTTGGTCCTAGTGTTGGCCCACAAACCACCCAGCCATGGGCTACTGAAGGCCTGGAGCATCCCACTGTGTTATGGTAATATTTAAACCCAGTGTTTAATGATGTGCTGCAGTAAGCTCATGTTTGTAGTGCTCGTTGCCTGTGCCAGTGCCCAGAAGAGTAGGATGTTCCTGGGAAAACAAGAAATGATTTCAATTCAATGGCAGGTTCAAAGCAGGAGCCAGACCAAAGAAACCCAGTGTCCACCAGCAGCATCCTAAGAGGAAGCAGGGACAGGCCAAGGGGAATGGCTCTAGAGGAGACTGAGCTGAGCTCTTAGGCAGAAGCTCTTCCCTGTGAGGGTGCTGAGGCGCTGGCACAGGGTGCCCAGAGAAGCTGTGGCTGCCCCATCCCTGGCAGTGCTCAAGGCCAGGTTGGACACAGGGGCTTGGAGCAAGCTGCTCCAGTGGAAGGGGTCCCTGCCTGTGGCAGGGGCTGGAGCTGGAGGAGCTTCAAGGTCCCTTCAACCCAAACCAGTTTGGGATTCTATAAATGAACTATGCCAGGGCACACAGCTCCTAGGACAAGTGCTCCCATGCTCCTGGGCTATCCAGAGCCTGTTTCAGAGGAGCTACAGGAGACTTGGCTCTTCCAACACATTGCTTGAGGTTGAAGTTAGAGGTTTTCTCATTAAAACCGAGTCAGTGGTTTATAAGAAAGCAGGTTTTAGCACTGGTACAGCTGTGTGCTTCTGGTGTTACAGAGCACAGCGCTGTACTGGTTGTTAGCTATGTCTCAGTCCTGGCAACCCCAGTTTGTGCCACTGACCCTTGCCTTCACCTTGGAAAGCTGTTGCACATCACACTGGGGAGAGGAAGGTGTGCAGGGCTGTGCAGGCATGTGTGCATCCAACAGGACTCACACTGGCAGCGTGTTCATCTTCCTGCAGCCTTGCCCTGTAGCCGTTTCCTTGCTGTGTGCAGGTGTCCCTGCAGAGCTGGTTGGGCACCCAGCGAGGAGGCAGCAGGACAGGGTGGATGCTGCCAACCCTGCTCCTCCTCCCTTCCATCCCTATGGGCTGTGGTTAGTGATGGTTCCTCTTTGCCTCGTGATGCTTGACTCTGTTTTGCAGGAGGTTTCAGGGAAAGGACCTGCTGTGGTCCCTGCACCCTTGCTCTGGCCGTTTGACACAGGCCAGCTCATTGGATCAGCGCAAGCACTGCATTTACCTCCCAGCAGCACTGCTGCACCCTTGCAGCAGCATCTGACCCACGTCACAGCACATTTGGGTGGCTTCCAGACCAAGGCACAACTCCTAGGAGCTGTGAAAGGAAAAGAGGCCAGAAATAGCTGTTCTAGACTCAAGAACTGTGGTTTATATTGGCTCCTGTGCCTACCAGAATCCCTAAATTAAGCTGTGACCTACATTAATTGCTGTCATGCTTCTGGCAGAGATTCATGACGAGCGTGTCCAGCAGTGTCCAGCACAAGAGCAGCTTCCAGCCACAGCTGAAACATCATCTGTGTGAAAACCAGCCCAGTGAAATGTGCTGAAAATGCTCCAGATCCCTTCCTTGGAGTCCTTGCTGCAAGCAGCCATTAAAATCCCTCTCCTGGGTAGCTCTGAGAGTGGAAAAGAGAGAGAAAATCTCAGAAATCCACTTTCCTCCATTCATTCTTTAAGTAGTGCGGTGATGGCCGTGATGGGCTCCAAGCTGGTTCCAGCATCATTGGTACCAGGCATCATTTTAAGCGCTGTGCGGATCAAGAACCAGCGCAGAACAGCCAGCCTCATGGTTTAAACAGTGTGGGGTTTGCACCAAAAAGAGGTTCCCCCACTGTGCATCAGTCCCCATATGCAACAGTAAGACAGTAAGAAATATTAGCTGTGAAATATGTAGTCACACATGCTGAGAGCAGGTTAATGAGTGCAAAGTGGGCAAATACAAGGCATAAACCTTGCAGAAACCACCTGCAAAGTCCTGCTGCTGGTTCTTGGGTTTGGGTCTTTCTAATTGGGTATTTCTATAGGGATGCTGGGGATGGACTCTTCATTAGGGACTGTAGTGACAGGACAAGGGGTAACGGGTTAAAACTGAAACAGGGGAAGTTTAGATTGGATATAAGGAGGAAATTCTTTCCTGTGAGGGTGGTGAGGCACTGGAACGGGTTGCCCAGGGAGGTTGTGAATGCTCCATCCCTGGCAGTGTTCAAGGCCAGGTTGGACGAGGCCTTGGGTGAGATGGTTTAGAGCGAGGTGTCCCTGCCCATGGCAGGGGTTTGGAATTGGATGATCTTAAGGTCCTTTCCAACCCTAACTACTGTATGATTCTATGGTTCTATTTTAGCCTTAGTTATAAATTACAGCTGACAAAGGAATAAAGAGCCTTCTGGAGGATTTCTGTCAAGGCTGATGTCAATGTTGCATTCTTATTTATACCCCTTCTATCCACAGGATTGAAAAAACGTACAAGGAAGGCCTTTGGTATACGGAAGAAAGAAAAGGATACCGATTCCACGTAAGTCAGTGAGCTATAACCCACCTTAATGCATAATGATACCGGGGAGAAGCTGATGCCAGGGTGCCAGGACAGGAAGGAAGTCAGAGCACAACAGGCATTCATCATCCTTGGATCAAGGCTTGGAATAACCAATGCATTTAAGCTGTTTCCCCTTGTGCACGCAGCGCCCAGCAGATCAGGTGTTTCCTCTGTGCCGCACAGCCGCTCTCCACGTGTTCGCAATTGATGGTGACAGTTAGCGGTGATCAGGAGGCAATTGCTCCTCTGGGAGTTTCAGCAGATTAATCCCTGCCCAAGCTCCAGATCTGCCGTCTGCTGAGGTCTTTTTGGATGCAAATTCCATTTAAGCAGATGCCTGCACAGGCACAGGCAGCCAGGCGGGTGCTGAAGAGCCCTGGTTGGGGCAGGCTGGGTGATGAGGGTGCATGGGGCTCCTTTGGCTTTGATGTGGGAGGTGCTTTTGCTCCCTTGAGGAACATCTGGCAGGGGTCTCCTCACATCTGGGTGCAGAACTGCTGGTGGGGCACTGGGCCACCACTGATGTATTTTGGGGCACGTATCAGAAAGCAGTGTGGCAAAGGAGAGGGGGAAAGGCGGTGAGGAGCCCCGCTCCCTCTCCCTCACCATCATACAGGTATTTAATGCCTTGCACAACAAAATCCCTGTGGGGTTTGGGGTTTATTTTGTTCAGATTTGCTTTCCTCAGCTATTTTCTATGTCACTGGTGGTTGCTGAGGTTTCCTCTGCAAAGGGGCAGCCACCACAGCCCTAGCCATGCTCCTGGGACCACGGTGAGCCTTGGTTGCATCAGCACCTGCAGGGCTGAAGGTATGGGGTACAGCTTGATGATCTTAGAGGTCTTTTCCAACTTTGTTGATTCTATTCTATGGAGAACATCCCAAAAGAGGGCTGTGCAGCACCCAGCCATTGTCCTGCTGGCTTGTCACCAGGAATGGTGGCTGTCCATCCCCAAGCGGGCTGTGGGACAGCCAGGAGCTCCGTGTATGGCTTCATTTATAATTTATCAGGATGCTGGGCAGGAATCAGGCTGCTCTGCATCCTCATCTGCCCAGGGAAAATCAATGGAGCCAGGCCTAGGTCCTGCCTTTAACCAGCTGCTCGCAGCAGCCGGCTCTTCCTAGAGGCTGCAGAAGGTGGTAGCCTATGGAGGTGGAAACGAATCCTGGGGCTTTCATGATGGCAACGGGATTGCAGGAAGGCCGCTGTGGAGGAGACACTTGCAATTAGCAGGCAGCAGTGATTAGCACAGCACCGGGTCACGTCGCGGCCATCACCCCAAGTGGCTTCGAGTGCTCTCCAAATCCCACGTCAGCAGCTGGTGTGGGGCTGGGGGGTGCAGTGAGAGCTGGGACAGACCCTCTGCTCACCCCCTGCATGGACCTGGGGGTGGGCACTGTGGTGTGGGATGTGCAGAGCTGCTGTCTGGGTTCTGGAATGGGATGGATTTGCTATGTGATGGGAAAGGACTTCCCACCCCTTCCCTCCACCGGGCAAGGGTCTCCATAGCCATTCTAGCTGGGATGTGAGCAGGAAGTGACACCCCTGGAGCTCATGCAGTGTGGGGTATATACGGGAGCAGAGGGGATCTGTGCTACTTCCAAAGAATTCTTTGCCACTTCCAAAGGATTTCATGGATCTTTGTGCCAAAAGGTTAAATATGAGATAGGAGAGAGGGGAGGCAGACACCGGTGGATTGGAGAAGTTCCATGGAAGGTGTCATTCTCTCAAAGCAGAGCTGGATGGGCAGCAGATCCCAGCAGGGTTTCTGTGATGCCCTGAGCCAGAGATTAACTGCTGGCAAATCCATGGCAATGCATCAGACTGGGGAGCACTGGAGAGGTGGAGGAGCTGCCTGGTTTTCAGGAGCATGTCTGTGTTTTCACTAACCAACTTAGCATCCTTGGGCAGCGTCTGGATGCGGCTGCTGAGCTGGACACGCTGCTTGCCATGATCAGGGTCTACATCCTGTAAGTGGTTGGGGATTAGGATCCCTGAGGATCTCCTCGGGTTTCAAATCCATTCAAGAGAAGTGACTGTGCTGCTGCCTCTGACTCACTCATCCTGTCGTTTTTAGTGCCTTCTGCAATAGGATGTGCACACAGCGTAGGGCTATGGCTGTGGTAGGGGTGCAAGGAGGGGCCAGCCCAGCTCCTCAGCAGTGGATTGGGATCATCAGCAGGAGCACTTTAGGAATAAATGTAGCATTTGTCACCTGATACCATGAGCTCAGCAGCACTGAGACCTCTGTGTGGGTGTCAGAGAGAGCACGTGGCAGGTAATTCAGATTTGCTGATAGCTTCATAATTAAAACCATCTCCACAAGTTAATTGGGCTCTAGTGCAGTTTGGGAGTAACACTCTGCTTCTTTCTGTTCTTTACAGAGGGTCACCAGACAGGGATGGCATTGTAAGTATTGCATGGACCTCATCCTGCTTTCCCCTCCTGATAGGGCTCCTTAAGCGTTAATTCCCCCGTCAGCACTTTGTGATCTGTCTCTTCATTTCTGTTTCATATAGAAAATACATGTTGGTAAGGAGCTGTTTAATGGCACATCCCAGGATTTCTGCAGGTTTAACATAGGGAAAATAACAACAAACACCTGAGAGAGCCTTGGGCAGAAGGACCACGTGTCCGGCTAAACCCCCCTGGCTCCATATCCCTATTTCCACTCCTGCTAATTGGCTTGGGTCAGATTTGCTGTGGGATGAGTTAAGGGGATGATGCCAGAGCAGCTGTTTCCAGTGTCTGCTTTTATTTTCTGTATTAAACTGAAAACAAGGAGAGACCTGGTTTTGTTATTTTGATTGGTGCTGCTTTGATTTATGGGGCTAGAAATGGCCCTGCTAGACCTGGGTAGTGGAAGGACCACATCTCCTTTTGCCATTTGATGTCAGTTTAAGTGTTGGGTTCACTCTGCACTGCACTGGTTGTTGTTTCTTGAGCAAATTTCCATGTTAGAGACTCACCCTAAAATAATGAGAGCCTCGGGAGGCTCAGCAAGGGGAGTGATGCTGCGGTGACAAAGCCAACAAAAACTGGGGTATCACTTCTTTGGCTTGGCTTTTCTTCCACATCTGACCCAAAATCCATGGCTTTGGGCTTGCCCTGTGTCCATGAGAGATGGTTAAGATATAGGAGTTCAAAAGGAGCCTGAAGCTCAGGTAGGGCTGGAACCAACGTTCACAGTAATACACAAATAACATGCAAGGGGCAGCCCTGAGCTGCCTCCTCCAGCAGCAGGAGTGCTGTGGGCAGCCTGTCCTCGCAGGCTTGGGTGCAGGGACCTCGGGTGAGCTCAGGTGCCCTCTCAATCAGGCTCATGCTCATGCTGTTCCATGAGGTTTGCTGTCCGAGCTCAGAGCAGGGCAGGGAAAGTCTCCAGTGCTCCAGCAAGCTGAAAGATGAAGAAATGTGATTTTGGGGGGTATAAGGAAGCCACTGAATGTGTTTGGGGCAGGGGAATTGGAGGATGGAGACATTTAATGTAACTTCTTTTCCTACAATGTGTGTTCACTGTAATATCTGCAGCCACCAGAGTGGCCAAGAGCAAATCATAGAATCAGCCCTAGGACCCTGGAATGGTTTGGGTTGAAGGGACCTCAAAGCTCACCCAGCTCCAACCCCTGCCATGGGCAGGGACCCCTTCCACTGGAGCAGCTTGCTCCAAGCCCCTGTGTCCAACCTGGCCTTGAGCACTGCTAGGGATGGGGCAGCCACAGCTTCTCTGGGATGGAGAAGCAGGGGGTTGGTCCTGGATGAGCTTTAAGCTCCATTCCAATCAAACCCAGCCTGGGATTCCATGATCCCAGCTGGGTTAGCCCAGACACCGCTCACTGCTGCAGCCCATCTCATGCCATGGGTGGCTGGGCTGCTGAATAACACAGACTGAATCCTGCTTTCAGTGTGCTCTGGGGAAGGTGATTATCTCCCTATAAACAGTGGTGCTATCTGTGCTTGATGGGCAAGGGGAAAACCACTGCTGCCAGCTCTCCATGGGTTGAGCATCCCAGCACATAGAGAAACGGTCATTTCACCTCTTGCTTAAGTTTCCCTCTCTTAAGTAAGTTCCCCCCTTTTAAGTTCCCCCTTTTTAAGGTTCTACCCTCCTAAGTTCCCCTCTCTTAAGTTCCCCTAAGTTCTCCCCTCTTATTTTCCCTTAATGAATGTTCAGCAAAAGCCTTTTTACCCCTCTGGTGTGGAAGACGTTCCAGAAGTGGGAAGTGCTGTCGTGTATGGCTGATGTGCATGTGCAGAGCAGCTCGCTGTAGTGCCTGCAGGGGCAGCTGCTGCAGTACCCACTGCCATCCCAGCTGTGTCAATGCACACGTGTAAGGGATGCTCTGCTCTTGTGTCCTTAACGTAAAACATGGACATTTTCCTTTCCAATGTCTTGCAGAAGAAAGCAAATGGAGCCCCGAATGGATTCTATGCAGAGATCGACTGGGACAGATATGTAAGTGCCCCAAGGAACCTGCCCTCCATCCAGCACCCATGCAGCTCCCTATGGGACCTGGGCTGTGCTCACATGCTGCCCTGTGGCTCTTGGGTGGGGTTAGGCTGCAGAGAGCTGTGATGGGCATCTCTTCCTGCAGGAGGAAGGAGCTGCTCCAGCTTTCCAGGGATGCAATTAGCATTCCCAATTCTTTCTTTTGGTTTTGTTTTTGTGCCCTATTCAGAACTCACCTGAGCTTGATGAGGAAGGATACAGCATCCGACCGGAGGAACCCGGCTATATCCTTTATGGCTGGCTTTGCCTCTTGGGTTACCAACTGTAAGATGAGCTGGGGTTCACAGGCAGGCCACTGACATAGTTGTTATTATTATTATTATTATCATCATCATCATCGTCATCATGCCTAAAGAAGAGAAAGCTCTGGGAAACCTTAGAGCAGTTTCCAGTGCCTAATGGGGCCAAGAAGAAAGCAGCCAGTCTGTGATTCTGTGCTTCTTTCTTCCCCCCTTTTTACTTCCCTTTTGAGCTGTCACTCCACAGCTCTAACTGGCTCCCACAGGGAATTACCCGAGGCAGTAGAGCAGAGGGTGATTTTAATTGCCTTTGATCCACTGCCATGAAATGAGGAGGTGTGATGAGCACTGCCAGGAGCATCCCAGCAGGGTGTCCCATGGGGAAGGTGGTGTCCTATCCCAGCTGTGGTGGGTACACATGCGATGTTCAAGGCCAGAGCCTGTGCATGGTCCAGGAATGCAGGCACTGATGCACATCACTAAACCAGGGTTGGCTTTATCCCTGTGAGCATTAGAGCATCAGAGCCTGCATATGGGTAAAGCATGGAAACTTCACAGCAGTGGCAGGCACTGCAGGAGGATTTGCCCCTGCACACTAATCCCATCTGTGGGAGTTTGGGATAAGCAGTTTGGGAACCCCTCATTCCCACTCTTCAGGGATGCTGGAGCCTTTGAATGCCAAGGCTGTGCCCTCACACCAGGAGGGTATCTTCCTTAACTGTGCTCTACCTACCAAAGGAAAGCACTTCTACTCCTCGAGTGAATCTGAGGAGGAAGAGGAGGCGCACAAGAAGTTCAACATCAAGATCAAGCCTTTGCAGGCTAAAGACATCCTGAAGAGCGCGGCCACGGTGGACGAGCTGAAGGCATCAATAGGCAACATTGCACTTTCTCCATCCCCCGTGGTGAGTCCTCGTGTTTCCGTCTCTTCCCTGGGTTACAAAAGCAGTTGTGCTCCTCAGGGCTCATCCCAAGTGATCAGGAAGCTCTTCCTTAGGAGGGATGAGTTGCTCTTTATGTCCTTATTTACAAGGTCTAGTCTATAGGGAACTAATAATGTGACTGCAGGTAGAGCTCAGATGTATCGCAGTGATGTTTCCAGTTCAAATGTCTTAAAAACCCCCTTTCCTGCTCATCAAACAGAGCAACTGAGATTGCAATACACTGTTCCCTTTATTTTTCCCCTTATCTTTCAATGCGACCATCATCCAGGACATAAATTGGATTTGCCTTGCCTTCATTCCCAGGGCTTTCCACACCACTGCTATGGGTGTTAGAGGGAACTTTCTCACCCCAGGAGTGAATGTGGGGTTCCTGGAAGGAGGGGTCACCTCTCCTTGTATATACAGGGTATAAACACCATCACCCTCTGGTTTCCCTGGGACTTGTCAAGATTTCTGTCATCTCATCCCAATCTGTTCAGCTGTGAAAAGATTTGATTTTTCCCTTTCAGTGGGCTTCAGTGTGGGCTTCAGTGTCTTTTCAGATGAAGCTTTCTGTGATTTATAAATAGCCTGGATCTGAAGTGTGAATGAATCTCAAACCCGAAGCAAAGCCGAAATCGAATGAATGTGTTTGCTTTCTTCTTTCCAAACCAATGCGACGTGGCCGAGTTTACTGAGAGCTTCTGAGTGCCCCTGGCCCATCTCTGCTTCCCCTGATGCGTGTCCCTTTAGCAATGTGCACTTCTGGATGCGTTCGGTGCTGTGAGCAGGGAGGTTTAGGGGTTAGGAACTGCAGTTGGCTGCTTTGGGAAGCACAAAAAGGAAAAAGAAGTTAAAAACCCAAGCTCAAAATGCAGCGCAAAGGATGGGGGGAGGTTTGGAGGCTGCAATTACGTGCCTAAAAGGTGGATAATTTCGATTGAGAGTGTAAAACCCCACAGAATTTCTTACTGTGAAACCGAGCTGATTTTGGTTTTGCAAAGTGATGGCCCCAGCAGCCTGGTACACACATGTATATGTATATAACGTATGAAACTGTGATTTTGTGAGGAGAGGAAATAGTGCAACACATTAAAAATGGGCTAGGGAAAGTACTATGCAAAGCTTTCCAAAGGGGTCAAGCCTTGGTGCGCTCTCCCCTCGTTCTGGGGGGTTTGCTGCTCCAGTCACCACGGGGCACTCGCTGGCCCCCAGGGGCAGCTGCTGGCTCTGTCCCAGCCGCTGCAGAGGTGGGAGCAGCTGCTCCTGATGCTGGGCTGCAGCCCTGGGTGTGGGGTTCCGGAGAGCCTAGGCAAAAATATGGATGTGGAGCACTGGAGCAAGTGCAGAGGAGGCCATGGGGATGCTGCGAGGGCTGGAGCAGCTCTGCTCTGGAGCCAGGCTGAGAGAGCTGGGCTGGGGCAGCCTGGAGAAGAGAAGGCTCCTGAAGGGGAGACCTGAGAGCAGCTCCAGTGCCTAAAGGGGCTGCAGGAAACCTGGAGAGGGGCTTGGGACAAGGGCCTGTAGGGACAGGCCAAGGGGAATGGCTTGAACCTGCCCGAGGGGAGACTGAGCTGAGCTCTTAGGCAGAAGCTCTTCCCTGTGAGGGTGCTGAGGCGCTGGCACAGGGTGCCCAGAGAAGCTGTGGCTGCCCCATCCCTGGCAGTGCTCAAGGCCAGGTTGGACACAGGGGCTTGGAGCAAGCTGCTCCAGTGGAAGGGGTCCCTGCCCGTGGAACTGGGTGAGCTTTAGGGTCCCTTCCAACACAAACCACTGTGCATATAAAGTGATCCTGTCTCTAGCAGTAAACACAGCCTGGGGCTGGAGCCGGTGCCTCCCTGTAAAACAGTGCAGACTCCACTCAGCCTGAAGGGCTCAGGGAAAAGCCCTGTGCCAGGCTGGACAGAAGGAACAGTGCTGCTTCCCTGTGTTGGGATCCAAATCCCACCGCACAGAGCCAAAGGGCGCAGATGGAGATGTGAGCGGTGCTGCTCCCCAGTACACCGCATCCTGGCAAGCGGCACTGGCCCCGCTGCCTGGGAAAGCACCAGTGCCCTGGGCAGGAGGTGGCTGAAGGAGTTTTGCATCCAAGGGGGGTCCTTGCTTTGCTGTCTGAGTCCATGCCCTTGCCCTGGGCTCGTCTCCTCTCCAAAACCAGCTGTAAAGCCATGCTCCAGCACCACATCCCTCCTGTGCATCGGGCTCTCCTGGGCGAGAGCAGTGGGATGCTGTGTCCATAGGCACTGTCCTCCCCATCCCTTTGGGGTGTAAGCTATGGTGCCTCAACTTGAAGACAAGCAGGAAACTGGAGATGCTCTTGTGAAATGGTGTCAGCTGCACCCTCCATCTGAAGCCCAGTAGCTTGGGTCTCACTCCTTGCAATTGCAAGTGGGGGGACAACTGCACCTTCCCATGTACCATACCAGCAACAGCCCAGCATCTTCAGGCCTCTTTCCTGCTCCTTTTGCCTTTCCTCGTACATGGCCCTTCCAGTCTATAGCTAATGGGGCCTGTTAATGACAAAGCATGTGAATCCTTCAAATATCCTTCATAATACAAATCTTTTACTTCTCTGTTATCCCTTTATAGAAAATCTCTTATATTCTCATTTTCATTTGTTTCCTTCCTTTTCTGCATTCTTTTAGAGGAGAAGTCCGGTAAGAAACACAGTTTTTTATCTCTTACAGCTTCTTAACACCATCTTCCCTGGTTTGCACGCTCCCTGTTTTGCATGTCTCTAGAATGAAATGTGAAATGCAAATACCAAATCCTACTGGTTTGGAAGGCGTGATGTTTGTTTTCCTTCTCCCTTGATTTAACTTGGAGCACTTTACTATGGAGCTGGGCTGGCTGTGGTTGTGCATCGTCTGGGGGTGTACGGAACCAGGGGATCAACCAGGTTGGAAAAGACCTATAAGATCACCAAGTCCAACCATTTCCCTGCACTTCCAAGGCCACCATTAAACCATGTCAAAGTGCCAACCCACACGTCAAACCCTGTGTAGTTTCACCCTGTAGTGGGTGAGGCACATGTTGGACAAGGTGCCTGAGGGCACAGCTTTACCTGGGCATGTTTTATGTGCATCCTTGCACATCAAAAGATATGAGAAGGCAGAAAACCCCATCAGTGGTCCATGACCTCTGCAGTGCTGCTGTACGCAGTGGGGATGGCTTCCCTGAGAGGATTGGGCTTCCAGTGATTCTAAACCCAAAATGGGGACATGCATTCATTCCATAGGGTTTGGGTTCCTCAGGGGTCTCTCTGGATGCTGCTCTCTCCCTGCCTTATACCCATGGCTACAGCGACCCACCGGCAAGGGGTTTGCTCCCACTGGTGGGTGCTGGGGGCTGCGTGGAGGAGGAACCCCCGTGCACTGTGCTCTGTGAAGCCATGATGAGGGTGTGATGGGTGCTGGGGCCTCGGGGTGCTGACCTGTTGCTCTCTGACCAGGTGTCTCTTCTCTCTTCCTTCTCGCTGACCGCAGCGGCGCAGCCCGGTAAGCACCAGTGCTCGCTGCTCCTGACCCTGCTGCTCCAGCATGGGGGTGCTGGGGGGGGGCTGAGCCTGTGTTGGGGTTATGTGGTGAGCACAGGGGAAGGGGCGTGGGTGCTGGTGCCATTAGACGCTGTTGTGTGACCCAGGTGATGGTGGGACCTTGTCACTGTCACCGCTGCAATGATGGGCATCCTCTGTGGCTTGACCTGCATCCTTGCAACCCTCCTGGGGATGCTGCTTGTGGTCCTGGGGTACCCTCACTGCCCATCCTGCTCCCCCATCTGCCATGAAGCCCCAGCTCCCATGGTCCAGGTGGGGGTGGTTTTTGCTGTGCACAAGCCCATGTGTGTTGTATGGAAAAAGGGAGGATTTAGATGGCTAAAAATGCATTATTTAGATCAATATGCAGCCATGAAACATAAGATTTGGGGTTTATGCCATCACCATGGGGTGATGCTGTAAGTGACCCCTGTAAGCCCCTGGCAGTTGGGATGCCTGTGAATGCAGCACTGCCAGGTGATGGATTTGCATGGCTAAAAATCCTTTTCAAAGGGTTTTTTCTGCTCCCTGTGTGCAGGGAGCAAATGGGATTTCACAACACACATGTGGGGCCGGGCATATCTCAGCCATGTACAGTAAATATCACCCAAGACAGGCAATTCCTGCTGCATCTGCTCGGCTGCTTTGCCCCAGCTGTGTCCCTCCTTGGGTGACAACTGCCATGCACCCGTGTCCCTGTGCATCCCCCTTACCTCGTGTGTTTCTGATTCCAGGGGACGATTAAAAGGAATTTATCCAGTAAGTATGCTCTGCAGCCTTCAGAAACAGTTGTTATATGTATGGTGATGGTTTTGTGGGGAGGGGGAATATAAGGGAGTGGGTTAGGGTTGATTTACAGTGATGGCACCCAAATGCCTTCCTTGAAGAAGCCCATAGGGGACATCCTATAGAAGCAGCTACCTGGTCTAGTTCTCTACAGAAACAAAATCCAGCTTAAAAACCTGACCTTTTCCTGCCAGGATCCCCATAGCAGGCATGGGATGGGACACGTGCTGTGCATGGTGTGAGCCTCACACCAGCATGGGGTCCGGGTGGGCTGGGGGTGATGTGTGGGGGCAGGTGGTGGAACAGCTCTAACCCTGCACTGTCCATCCTGTGCTGCAGATGAGGAGATCACGCGGCCCCGGCGCTCCACACCAACGCCAGACCCTGCCAGGTCAGTGCGGACTCCATTGGGACCATCATCCAGCACAGGCACATGGCCCTGATGTGGTCTGTAAACACTTCAGTGGGCAGCTGCGTGTTTGCACTGGTGCTCAGTGGGAAGAACAGCCCAAATCCAGAATCCCAGCCTGGGTTGGGTTGGAAGGGACCTTAAAGCCCACCCAGCTCCAACCCCTGCCACGGGCAGGGACCCCTTCCACTGGAGCAGCTTGCTCCAAGCCCCTGTGTCCAACCTGGCCTTGAGCACTGCCAGGGATGGGGCTTCTCTGTGCCAGCTCCTCAGCACACTCTGGGTGCTAAATTCACTGGGTGCAGTATTTCACTGCTGTGCAAATACTGCCGACCCATCGGCCAGCTGAGCTGCTCCAGTTTGCCTCATCAAAGCCACCACAGCAGAAACATCACTTTGGTGACTTCTTAGGCTCATGAGACAGCCACATATTCGTGTGTAGTTGTTAAATAAGCTCCGTGTTGCAGGATGCGAGAGGCACAGGGAGCTTTGGGTCCATGGGCTCTCTGCTTGGATGCTGTGTAAATAAGGACTGAAGGGGGGTGGATGCTCCAGAACATGGCCAAACGAATCCATGCAGAATTGAGGCACTGATGGCTCTGGTGTCCTCGTTTCAGAGGCACAGCTCTGGCTCTCCATAGGACCAGCAAGGACATCCTTTGTTAAAGCCACCTTGGGGAGAGCTGCCATGCGTGTGCTGTGCGTACAGATTGATTTAGAAGCCAGATCTCAGGAGCAGAGTGCCCTGTGCAGCCACTCAAGGTGTGCTGGAGACAAGCATGGTCCACACCTTGACTTGTTTTCTCCCTTTCCCATGTGGTCTGGAGTAGCTCTGACCAACCCTCACTGCCCAGTGCCTCAGTGGCTGCTGGGGCATTACTGGGTCCGTGCTGCAGCCGATGTCACCACTCTGCTCCCCTTTATCTCTGCCCAAACCCCTGTGTTTTGCCTGGTGCCTCTTAGTCTGGAGCATGAACACCCCCTGGAAACCTCCAGGTCTGCAGCCAAGCACCAGGTCTGAGTGCGAGCCTGAGCCTCATGGCCCCTAAACCTGAACCTCAGGGTTCCTAAACCTGAACCTCAGGGTTCCTACACCTGAACCTCAGGGTTCCTACAGCTGAACCTCAGGGTTCCTACACCTGAACCTCAGGGTTCCTACACCTGAACCTCAGGGTTCCTAAACCTGAACCTCAAGGTTCCTAAACCTGAACCTCAGGGTTCCTAAACCTGAACCTCAAGGTTCCTACTCTTGAACCTCAGGGTTCCTACACCTGAACCTCAAGGTTCCTACAGCTGAACCTCAAGGTTCCTAAGCCTGAACCTCAAGGTTCCTACAGCTGAACCTCAAGGTTCCTACACCTGAACCTGAAGGTTCCTAAGCTTGAACCTCAAGGTTCCTAAGCCTGAACCTCAAGGTTCCTACACCTGAACCTGAGGGTTCCTAAGCTTGAACCTCAAGGTTCCTAAGCCTGAACCTCAAGGTTCCTACACCTGAACCTCAAGGTTCCTAAGCCTGAACCTCAAGGTTCCTACACTTGAACCTCAAGGTTCCTAAGCCTGAACCTCAAGGTTCCTACACTTGAACCTCAAGGTTCCTACACCTGAACCTCAAGGTTCCTACACCTGAACCTCAAGGTTCCTACACCTGAACCTCAAGGTTCCTACAGCTGAACCTCAGGGTTCCTAAGCCTGAACCTCAAGGTTCCTAAGCCTGAACCTCAAGGTTCCTACACCTGAACCTCAAGGTTCCTACACCTGAACCTCAGGGTTCCTAAGCCTGAACCTCAGGGTTCCTACAGCTGAACCTCAGGGTTCCTACACCTGAACCTCAAGGTTCCTACACCTGAACCTCAGGGTTCCTAAGCCTGAACCTCAGGGTTCCTAAGCCTGAACCTCAAGGTTCCTCTGCCCTTGTCTCCTCATCCCACAGCAAGAAACCCGTGGAGGATCCGGCTGCGCTGGCACCGCTCTTCGGGCCCCCGCTGGAGTCGGCGTTTGAGGAGCAGAAGCTGGACGGTGGGTCAGGGACATGGGGACATCTCCTGGCAGTGACCTATGGCTCTGCTGGACGGTGGGTCAGGGACATGGGGACATCTCCTGGCAGTGACCTATGGCTCTGCCATGCCCTGGGGCTGGCTCACAGCACCCTGCGCTGCCAGCAGGCGGGCAGCCCTGGTCAGGAACCCCCTGGAGCTACTCTGAAAAGAGGAGGAAGGCAAAGCTAAAGCAGAACACAAAGGGTGGATGATTGTGTTACAGGCAGCGCAGGGTTGGGTTTGTCATCGACTCCTATAATGGTTTGTGTTGGGAGGGACCTTAAAGCTCATCCAGTTCCAAGCTCCTGCCACGGGCAGAGACACCTTCCACTAGGGCAGGTTGCTCCAAGCTCCGTCCAACACTTCCAGGGCTGGAGCATAAACAGGTTATATAGAAAGAGAGTATATAAATCAATCATTAAATTGTGTGCTCTTGGGACAGATGCTGAATGAGAGCAGCTGACAGATATTAAAACCACTGATTTTCAAATGAAGCTCTGGCTATGCCTGTTCACCAGGCTCTGCTGATGCACATCAAAGCCGTGCTGCACACCACAGCATCACACTGATTTAATGGGAGGGTAAGAATGGAGCTCTCTGCATTGCAGCTCCCCATGCCCACGAAGATGCTATCTCAGTAATGCCATTCTCCCCCCAAAACAGCATTCCCCTGCACAGGAGCAGGGTGACACTCTGCTCCCTTCCCAGCCTTTCTTCTCCCACAGCTTTCCCAGGGCACAGGGAGCTGCAGGCCTTGTTCTCCCCAAAGAAAAACCCCATTCACCCGCTGCAGTGGTTTGTCCCCAGAGAGTTCTCCTCCTCCTGGCTCTGCTCAGCTGCCATGAAGTGGCCACAGCCCCTTGTAGCCTGGCTCTGTCTTGTCATCAGTGATTCCAGTTCATTCTCGTGATCAGACTGGTTTGTGCGCACTGCTCTCCACGTAGCTCCCCTCTCAGTGGTTTAAATGAGATATAAAAGAAGAGTTTTCCTCCTACAATCCCTGTGAATACAGTTGGATCTTTTCCCTTGAAGACCTGGAGGTTTTTTTCAGCATATCCTAGAATTCCTCATGATTCTTGCAGTTAATGCAGTGTCTCACTTAATGCAATAAGTCTCCAAACACATAAATGGCACTGTTCTGTTTGTCAAGCAGCGTGAGTGTCAAACTAATTGCACGTTTAACAATCAGGCAAGCCTGTAATTATCTAACATAACAGAACCCCCTCTGTCTTTAACTAATGAGGAGTTGCTGTCACTCTTTAGCTTCCTCTCGTCACGTGAGTATGTCTGGTCTCTCTGTTGGTATCTGTTGGACTGTTGGCTTTATCATCACCTTTACATGTGTGTCTGTTTGTTTTCCAGCCACTATAGACCAGCCTGAGATATGGGGTTCGGTCCAGCCCGTCAACACAAGCATAGAGTCCCCAAAGCTACCGAGACCTTTTCCAACTGGAAGTAAGTGACCGTGCAAGTATCAACCAGAAATTACTCAATACATACAGAAACTGAATCAAAGCTTTAATTTTTCCACATCCAAACTCCTGGAATTGTGCAGGTTTTAGTCATGTAGCAGGTTAGAGGGTTTCACTTCCCCTGGCTTCAGTGATGACGGTGGAGGAAGGACACGGGTTGGATAAGGATGGGATGGATGGTACCCAAGGTGGGGGAGATGATGCACAGCCTCCCTGGGGAAATGTGCAATGTGGAACATCTCCAGCCAAGGCAAATGGCCTGCATGGAGCCAGGGGTTAAACCCACCCTGCCCTCAGAGCAAGGAGCACCTGATCCTTCATGCTAATGATCTGGTTATTTAGGTTGGAAACACCGGTTTCTCCATGCAAACAGCACTAAATCCCTGGTTTCCATTGGAACTTTTCCCCTTGCCTGGTGCAGCCAGGGGAATCACGTCTCCTCCTCCTCCCTAGCTGCAAAGTTATTCCTTCCTTGTTCCCCTGCTCCTTTCCCCCCTTACTAGCAATTAGCACAACCCATTTCATGCCAAACCCATCCCCAACCCTGGTGCTGCTGGCTGCCAGTGCTGATGTGGCAAGGCCAAGGCAATGCCTGGTCACACCATGAGCTGGCCAGGGGATGGTGATGCTCGTGATTGGAATGGTTGCTTCAGCATAGAATTATGGAATGGTTTGGGCTGGAAGGGACCTTAAGGATAATCTTGTTCCAAGCGAGACAGGGACACCATGGTTAATGGTGCTGACCCCCATCTAGAGGAGGAAACCAAGCCTCCAGGTGTTTAGGACTTGGGTGCTATTTACATAGCACCCTCAGACTGTCTGATCTTAAAGGTCTTTTCCAACTGAGTTGATTCTGCATCTGCTTTGCCAAAATACCCCTGTAAAGCAGCACTGGGTTAATTAGCCATGATGTTCCTCCTCCCACATGAGCATCCCGGATTCATGCGGGATGAGCACGTGAGGAACGCGGAGGCGGGTACGTGCCTCAGAGGGTACGGGTTTTAATTAAAATGGTAATTCAGGGGTTTAAATCATCAGTCCAATCAAAGGCTTAAAGATTAAAACCAACAACAATGAAAACCCGACAGAAAAAGCCACCAGTGATTGTTGCTTGGTGCTGCCAGATCCTCCTTTCCCTGCTGACAGGAAACCTGGAGAGGGGCTTGGGACAAGGGCCTGTAGGGACAGGCCAAGGGGAAGGGCTTGAACCTGCCCGAGGGGAGACTGAGCTGAGCTCTTAGGCAGAAGCTCTTCCCTGTGAGGGTGCTGAGGCGCTGGCACAGGGTGCCCAGAGAAGCTGTGGCTGCCCCATCCCTGGCAGTGCTCAAGGCCAGGTTGGACACAGGGGCTTGGAGCAAGCTGCTCCAGTGGAAGGGGTCCCTGCCCGTGGCAGGGGTTGGAGTTGGAGGAGCTTTAAGCTCCCTTCCAACCCAGTCCATTATAGGAGTCCATGATTCCTAATGCACCCCCATTGAATCTTTCCCTCTCTCTGCTCTTTTTGCAGCACCTCCACCACTCCCGCCGAAAAACATCCCGGCCACGCCGCCACGCACCGGCTCTCCTCTGACAGTGGGAATAGGTAAGAGCCCAGCACCGCCCTTTGTGCCATTCCACAGCCCTGGAAGGCTGATCCAGGGGCTGCTCTGGGGGCGGGGGGTGGTGTCTCTGTGGCTGAGTTTCGGATGCAGATTTAGCCCTGGTGCATCCTCCTTCCTCTGCATCCGTGGTGCTTCAGTCAGGGTGATGCTTTAGGATCGGTGCAGAGATGCCTTTAACACCCAATTTGGTGTCATACTGGTGAAATTAGTGTGCTCTCTTCCCCAGTGCCTTTGGAATGGGTCTCATTTCCAGATCGATTTCATTTCTAGAAATGAAATGCATCATTAGCCTTAAAGTCCTGCTCAAAATTGGGAATAAATAGAGCACTGTTACTACTTGGAGCAGCACTGTGCAGTCCGCTTATGAAATAACAGGGTATGCAGTGCCTGCCTGTGCTGAGGGATTGCTGGTCCCAGACTCCTAGTGCTCTCAGGGACAGTGGGAAAAGCTCCCTGGGGCTGGGAGAAAGAATGAACCTGGACCCAAGGACAGCCTGAAAGAAGGGTTTGAAAGATGATGTTGAACGCTGCAATAGGACATAAAGTGCTTATAAGCATATAATTCATGTTGCTGGCAGGGTGCTGTCTGCTCGGGGGCTGGTTTGGGGAAGGAAAGTGTGTTCTCAGTCTTTGTGTAGGGCACTGTATGGGTACAGACCATCTCATTGCACCCACATGTACTGAGCAGCCAGCTTGGGGGGGTCATCACCATCGCCATGAAGAAATCCCCTGCTCTGAGCTGACTGCTCTTTCTGTCAGGATTTCATTCATGCTCCCATAGCTTGATTTGTCCATGCAAGCAGCCAGACTGGCAGAGCGCTCTCCTACAGACATCAACCAGAGCAAACATGATGCCCAGCCATGTGTTGTGGTTTATTTGCTGGGGTCAGGGGTGCTGCACGCGTCAGCCTGTGCATTAAGCAGAGCAAGCAGCAGAAGTCTCTTTCCCCTTGTCTTAGCAAGACTGTATTTTATCCCTTAAACGCAGAACAGCAGATGGCTCCCCCCAAATGCAGGAACAGGGGTGGGAGGCCAACACGAGGAGCCCAGAGGGCATGTTAGTGTTATCCATATGCACACGGCTGTAGCAGGGCCATGGTCCGCACTCCATCCTTCCATTCAATCTGTGTGACACAAAGCAGTGGGCAGCTTTCCTGGTGTTAGAGAGCTGCCAGCTCCCCAAGCTCCAGCCCCTGGGGACCATGAATGCAAGAAAACAGGGCATGAGAGAGAGGAAGGAGGATCTCCCTCCTCTGGATGTGTAACGCTTTGCTGATGAGCCCTGTGTCTGTGTTGGTTAGGAAGGTGGATAGGAACAACAGTGTGTGGTAGCTCAGTGAGCAGAACCCTAAAATACCCTTATCTGCTGCTGCTTGCAACTGAAATACATACACCTTGTCTGCTTCCCTGCACTGCATGCCCAGTCCTAGTTCTTGAGAGTGTCAAGCCAGCATGTTTAAACAGATGTATTTAGATGTACGTGTTTATGAATAGATATATTTAGTGGACTGTGCAAGAGCTGAGTGCGTAAGTTTAATATCTGCTGATAATTCAGAGTGATGACAATGATGTGGCAATATCATTTGGATGAGACAGAGAAAAGGCTGAGAGCCAGCTTCAGACTTTGGGAGGATATGGGACTGTTGTGTGTGAAGCGATGATGATGAGGAAGTCTTGGCTCGGGTGCATGCTCCCTCATACAGTGTATGTATTTCAGTCCAGTGTGGTCCATTCTGCATGGCACATGATGTGATGCAGAAACTTTCTTGCACATGAATTATATTCCGTGGCAGCTTATAAGAAAAGGTGGTTTTACAGCATCTCCTGTAGGAAGTAGCTGATGTAGAGCCCCGTAGACAATAGTGCGACCACAGTGCTCTGGGTTCATGCTAAGTGTAAACTCAACTACTTTGACCACAGGAGGGGACCAGACAGCAGCAGAGCTCAAGGGTGACAAACTCCCGTCCATCAATGACTTGGACAGCATCTTTGGCCCCGTGCTCTCCCCCAGGTCTGCTGCTGTTAACGCAGGAGACAAGTGGGTCAATTTTTCCGATCAATCCCCGGAAAGCGCGACTCCGGAGCGGACGCCCCGGGACAAAGCGGGGTCCCCAGCAGCGGGCAGCCCGGCCGGTGCCCCGGCAGCCGAGCCCTCGCGCCCGCTCCCCTCGCCGCTCCACCTGGAAGAGGTTCCCAAGAAGGCCTCGGAGCACCTTAAGGAGGATAACTTGGAGCCGGTCGCCTCGCCCAAAGATTTTGGGCTGGGACAAAGAGCGACCCCGCCTCCCCCTCCGCCTCCCACCTACCGCACGGTGGTCTCCTCACCCGGACCGGGCGGCAGCAGCGGCACGGGCAGCACCAGCGGTACGTCCCGCGGCCTTGCCTGTGCTTCGGGGTGGCCGTGACTGCATCCGTCATCCCCTCCCCGCCTGGTTGTGCCTGTGCCCGGCGCCGTGCTCCCACCCAGCCCTCTCGTGCTTCCGCGTCCAGCGTCTGCACTCTGCCTCCTGTGTCCCCCTGTGCCCTGCTCCTTGCTGCGTGTCTGATGGTCGGATGGGTCTGACAGCCTCTTCCCAAAGCTTCCCCGAGCTGTCCTTCCCACTTTGGCTACGCACATAACCCCACCATGCAAAACTTGGCTGTTGCCGCAGCTCCATCCTCAGTAGGCTTCCGAGTGAACATAGGTGGAACCATGTCAGGTGAATGATCTGAGCAAGCCTCACACCAAGGGGGGTGTAAATCTGTTGCAGATGGACAGATCACTGCATATCGTCACCCCAGGGTGGCAGATACCAAATAACTCAGAGGCAGCACAGGGCTGAATGGTGCTTGGTCACTCAACCATGAGAGCTTGGGTGCCCAGCCAGCTCGGGAGGAACAGCTTCCAGGGTGAACCTCTCGCCAGGGCAGAACCTGAGCGGTTCATGGAGCATGGTGCTGCCTGCCTGGCTTCACCTGCTGAATTATGAATGTCTGTGTGCCCATCAGGGCAAAGGAGCTCACAGGGGTCAGCTTACACAGTGCCCACGGTGCTCGAGGAGGTGCAACCTGATCGTGCCACTTTAGAGGCTGACCCCCGGGCACTTTCTGTACCAGTGAAGTGTGATGCGCAAATCCCATCCGCACCAGCAATCCCGCATCCATGAAAAGCTGTTTTCTGGAGGGTTACCCCTGCAGCTCCATGCAGGCAGTGGTGGGAGATGATGGGTGTGTGGGGTGTCCAACCGCTGTCACCAGCCTCATGTGAGCTTGAAGGCCATGCTGTTGCTTTGGGGGCTTGCCACCTCCACAGCTGTATGTAGGGCGCTGGGGCCATCCCCCTGAGCGTGGCTGTTGCTGCAAGTGTGGCTTTGCTTCAGTGGTGATGTCTTTTCTGTGCTGGGTTGGTGGGGTGGGTGAGTGGGACAGAGACTGACTGCTGGGGCACTGGTTGGAGCCGAGACTTCTCCAGGAGACTGGCAGCAGGAAAGAGCAAGCTTCTTCCCACACTGCTCCCCACCTCCATGCCGAGTGAGGCAGTGCCATGTGTGAGCAGAGATCTGCGGGATGCAGATGTGCCGGTGGCTCCGGATGGATGGAGAAAACCCACTTGGCAAGGCAGCGCTGCCTGCTTGGGAGGATCCATGTGTCTTCCCCAGGAATCATCTCCTGTCTGGTGTGCTTTGCAGCCCACTCACGCCTCAGCCTTACCCAGGACAGCGGGCTCTAAAAATGCAGTATTGAAATCCCCTATCGAAATCATGGAAATCTTTGGAAAGCTGCATCCTGTGGCAGCCAGTCTGGATGCACAGTGTGAATCCAGCACCATTCTGCTCCTGCCTTCTGCACCTTTCCATGACCACTGTTGCTTCCCTGGGCTTTCACATGCCATGGAGCCAGATCATCCTAGGGCACCTTCCTGCCTTCATGTCCCATGGGAGCCTGGGTTCCTGGATGTGACCAAGGGCTGGGACCAGCATGGAATCATCATAAAATGCTTTGGGTTAGAAGGGACCTTAAAGCTCCTCCAGCTCCAACCCCTGCCACGGGCAGGGACCCCTTCCACTGGAGCAGCTTGCTCCAAGCCCAGCATCTAAGTAGGCTTCTGATTCATGCTGGTTTACAACCTGGTGCCACACTCTGTTGTTGTAGAGACTATCTAGAGGTACGTACATGGGTCTCCCAGGGACCTTCAATACCTGAAGTCTAAACCGCCCTGCATGAAGGCTGAGGTCTGGCAGGGCTTTGGCTAGCTGGTGTCTGCTTCTGAGCTGGAGCAAAGGGCACCTTTGAAGCCTCCACCTTCTGACACTCGTACAGTGCTGGTAGCTGCTTTCTCTGAATAATTCCTGGTTTGTCAGGCTTTCATTGGGATAAGGAAGGAAAAATCAACGCTGTGGTTCCCAGGTTAGGATTCTAAATAAATAAGGTTTGAATTTTGGAGTTGTGCAAGTGAACAGCCAGGATTTACTGTCTGAACTTACCTGGGGGGAACTGCTGTGCCTGGAGCAGACCAATCTGCTGAGCATCCTCTTCAGCATCGGATAGCACTTCTATTTGACTGCAGAAAGTTCCCCGTTGCAGCAAGGCAGTGGCTGCTGGGATCCACAGGAATCCCAACAGCAGCACCCTCTTCTCTGAAACACTTCCAGAGGGCTGGAAAACACATTCAGCTTCCAGGAAATCTGGTAACCTTGCTCTTCCACTCTTCTTTGTTCAGGCAAAGCTTTACCCCTCTGACCAGGACCCCTCATTGCCATGGTGGGGGACTGACCCTGCTCACTGGCTCTGACACCCCAGGAGCTGGGGCATCGACATCAGTTGCTGCAGGGGGGAGGCATCGTTCTCCTCCTGCCCATGTGTGGTTTTCAGGAAAGCCATAAGATTCCTCCATCACCCCTGCCCAGGGATCCTGGCTGAGGGAGTCAAGTAACCGGCACAGATAGGGATTCCCTGTGAGAAACCCACTCGCATTGGCAACGCCAAAAAGCAATTCTCCGTGCTGCTGGTGTGGAGCAATGATCCATGGGAGTGTGTGCAGCGCATGCGGGAGCACCCACACCGGCTCTGGTCCCTGCACCCAGCTGGGCACGGGGTGGGCAGCTCTGGGTCCAACCTGCACTGCACTCACAGCTCTCCTCTGTTGCAGGGTCCTCATCCCCGGCTCGCCCCGGCACGCCGCTGGCTACCTGCAGCACCCCGCCACCGCCACCACCCCGGCCCCCATCCCGGCCCAAGCTGCCCCCCGGCAAGCCCGCTGTGGCTGATGTGGTATGTTCATGGTCAGGGGTGTGCTGTGCACTGGGAGGGGAGGGGGGTCTCCAGTCCCAGTCTGGTTAATGAGCAGAGCAAGCCAGCTCTGGCTGTGCTGGGAAGGGTGTCTGGCTAGGGGAGGGGGTGACCATCACCATAATGTGCTGGCTGGGCTGTTGGGTTCTGTCCAGGCTGCTGCAGGTAAGTTGTAGAGAGTGTTTATAGATATAAAGTTATTGCAGAATCCCAGCCTGGTTTGGGTTGGAAGGGACCTTAAAGCTCCTCCAGTTCCAACCCCTGCCACAGGCAGGGACCCCTTCCACTGGAGCAGCTTGCTCCAAGCCCCTGTGTCCAACTGGTCTGGAATCCACAAAGGATCCTTAAAGACACAAAAGAGCTGGCACATGATGGGCACTGTTCCCTGGTGAGCTGGCATGTGATGGGCACTGCTCCCTTCTCAACACTAAGTGCATTCAGTCCATCTAATGGCCATGGAATTCCCATGCTCGGTGGGGATGGGGACTTCAAACACCCAGACCCACAAGATGCTGGGAATCATCTGGCAGTTTTCTAGGGCCAGACTAAAATGCTGTTGGCACTAGAAGAACTAAAGTGGTTCAGGCTTGCACTAACCCCTTGGGGCTGCCCTGGGATGCCAGTGGCACCGGTGGGCCTGGAGGTATGTAGAGGGTTACGGCTTGATGCGAAGGCTTCTGTTTGTTTGATGCAAATGTTGCTGTGCTTATTTCCTTTAACCTGCTGTTGTTTTATGTTTCTCTACAGTCCAGGCCTTTCAGCCCTCCTATTCACTCCTCCAGCCCTCCTCCGATAGCACCTTTAGCCCGGGCTGAAAGTACTTCTTCCATATCTTCCACCAATTCCCTGAGTGCAGCCACCACTCCCACCGTTGGTAAACACATACAGCACTGCTGTTCTTTCCCCTTTCCTACCTCTGAATGTCCTTCAGGATGGTTCTTCGGGTTGACATTCATTAGCTTTCATCAGGCTTTTAAACGCAAAGAGGGATTTGAGGGGGGGTGTGATGTGTCATGAGCGTGATGCTGCTAGGGAAGCTTGCTCTGTGGCAGCCCCAGATGTTGGGGAAGATGACTGTTTGGTGAAGGTAGAGGTTGTCACCAAGTGAATGTAATATACATTGTGATTATGGTCTGTACATTTGGTCAAAATAAGCTTTTTATGGCAGAAGATGCTTGTGCCTGGAGGGGAGGGGGGCTGGAAGCCAGACCTTGGGATCCAGGAGACAACTAATACTGTATCTCTTTGAATGACCTAAATTCAAACCTCCCCTTAAAGTGGCAGTGGGAAATGGGTCTTGGAAGAGGCCCTTCCAAACCGTTACCTGGACACAAGTGCTGTAGTTTTGTTTTGGAGTAATGTCCTGACAAACATGGCTTTTGCCAACCCCCTCTCGGCCCCTCGCTGGGGCCTGAAACAAGAAATGTGAATGAAGTCTGGCTGGCAGCTCCCAGGCTCCATATGCCAGGCCCCCCCTGTGCTTCCCCTCCATCCCTTCCAACCCCTCTATCCCCTCCATCCCCTCCGTCCTGGCTGCTGGCGCTCCCTCCTCCTCCTCCATCCCTGCCATCCCACCCGGCTGCCAGCCCTGCTGCCCCTTGCTTCCTGCAGCTCCATCTTCCAGGAACACCTTCCTCCTTTTTCTTTCCTTTCCTTTCCATGTCTCCTGTGGTGAGCACTCCTGGTTTGCGCGGTGGGGAAGGAGCTCTGCAGTCCATCACTGGTGAGGGCTGCCTGATGGGCTCCATACGGGGAGCTGGAACCCCAACCCTCTGAGAAGCTGAACCAGGCTGGTGGTTGTGTGTGCTCGGCCATGGTCCTGGCTGCAGCATGTCCTGTTGCTGTCACCTTAGGAGCCATGGGGAGTGGTGGCACCACCACCCAGCTCCATGTGCCGTGCAGTGGGTACCATCCCCATGGTGTCCATCCAAACCCTCCCTGTAGGTTTACTGGAGTGTCCGACCTGCGTCTCCGTCCTGTTGTTTGCTTCACTCTCGAGGTGTTGTAGATGCTTGTACCTGTTTGCCGGCTGTTGGTCACCGTCACAGCGTGCTGTGGAGAAAAGGAAGCATCTCAAGCAAGGGGCTGGCCAGCCCCGAGCATCCCCGGTGTGTCGGTCCTGTCTGTGCCCGTTGTCCTGCAGCTTTGGCTGCTCTTGGTGGCCTTGGCATGGTGGGGAACATGATTTTGGTGGAGGGGAGCAGCCAGGCTGAGGACAGGGATCGCTGTGGGGTCTTCAGGAGGCAATGGGGTCGTGTGCTGGTTCTGTAGGCTGAGCAGGCAACGGGTCCTGCTCTCAGGTTAAAAGTTACTGGTTTTCTCTCTAATGCACACATTTTTGTGAACAAAAATTGCTGCTTGATGTTTTTAAAGATGTACCCACCCTGAGCAGTGGGGGCTGATGCATTCAGAGCAGGTAAGAATATGTGTCCACTGGCCTCATAGAATCACAGAACAGTTAGGGTTGGAAAGGACCTTAAGATCATCCAGTTCCAACCCCCCTGCCATGGGCAAGGACACCTCACACTAAACCAGGTCACCCAAGGCCTCGTCCAACCTGGCCTTGAACACTGCCAGGGATGGAGCATTCACAACCTCCCTGGGCAACCCATTCCAGTGCCTCACCACCCTCACAGGAAAGAATTTCCTCCTTATATCCAATCTAAACTTCCCCTGTTTCAGTTTTAACCCATTACCCCTTGTCCTGTCACTACAGTCCCTAATGAAGGGTCCATCCCCAGCATCCCTATAGGCCCCCTTCAGATACTGGGAGCTGCTCTGAGGTCTCCACACAGCTTCTCTTCTCCAGGCTGAACAACCCCAACTTTCTCAGCCTATCTTCATACAGGAGGTGCTCCAGCCCCTTGGTTCCTATCACTTTCACTGGGGCTTTCCTTGGCAGGGAGATGAAATCAGGGCTCTGGGGTCACCCCATGGCAGAGGGACACTGAACATGGCAGCCAGCAGCAGCATCTCCATGTTTGCCTTTCCAGCTCCATGCAGACAAAGTGGTGGGTGCCTTATTGCCAGGATTTGGCCTGGGATAAGCTGGATGGGGGGCAGGCAGGGGCAGATGGGTTTTGGGAGCCACTCTGGGAAAGACCAAGCATCTCCCCATTCTCCCCACCAAGGTGGCCAGGGCGAGGCTGGGCAGTGGTGCTGGGTGAGCATCTATTCAGCACTCCCCTTACTGTGCTGGCTGCGAACCCATCATGGGTTTGTCACTCAGAATACAGAGAAGATAAGGTAAAAGGTGCACAGGGCAGGGAGCAGGGATGTCTGGGCACAACAGCGGGTCGGGGACCTTTGGAGATCCCATGAGAGCACTTGCTGCTGGGTCCACCTCCAGTACGCTCTGCATCTCTTGTTTTCCATGGCAAAGTCTGATGAAATTAGTCCAAAGAGCATGTGGAAGAGTTATGTCATAGAATCATAGAATCATGGAATGGTTTGGGTTGGAAGGGACCTTAAAGCTCCTCCAGCTCCAACCCCTGCCACGGGCAGGGACCCCTTCCACTGGAGCAGCTTGCTCCAAGCTCCAGTGTCCAACCTGAAGACTGCCAGGGATGGGGCATTCACAACTTCCTTGAGCGTTCTGTTCCAGTGCCTTTTCCTTTACTTGTCCTCTGTGCTGGTCTGGTTTGCTTTCGTTGTGGTTGCATGTGCAGTCTGAATAATTCACTGCAGGGAAAGAAGCTGTTCTTCCTATGTCAGCGCCTGTTACTTTTCTCATTAAGGTCCTGCTCTGTCTCTTCCCGTTGTTAAACGCGCTGCTCGATTTCATTTGGGGTTCGCTTTTTCATTCTTGTTTTGTTTCCTTTCTTTTGCATTTCTTCTGCTTGTGGTATCAGAGGATGATGCTTTTATTGACAAACTGCTCACGTTTGAAAGGCGCTGTGAGACGCCTGCAGGTACTGTATTAGCAGGGCACTGTCAAGACATCTTGGCTTTGGAGTGGGGAGGCTGCGGGCACCCTGCGCCCCGGCACCCATCGCTCACAGCACCTTGCATGACAGTTTCTGAGTGACCAAAAGGACTTTGAGGTGAAACACCATCACCTCCTGAGTTCAAAAAGGTTAATTTAACAGCTCAAAACGTCATTTTCCACCCCTGCCCTTAGTTATTTTGACAGGACTTGTTATCCAATGTGGCTCTTGAAGCAGTTTGAGTGCAGGGAGCTGGTGGTTGTAGATAGGAAAGGGAAACTTCCAGCTAGGCATCTCCTGCTCTGTGTGAGTGTGTCTGTTTATCCGCAAGTTTCATGTCCTGAAATGCAACACAAAGCACCTATGTTTCACTGTCACCTACTCTGCACACCGGTGTGGCATGCGGCTCAGCATCCCACTGGGAAAACGCTGTTGTCTGAGACATCACCGGACTTGAAGAGGATAAGGGCATGGCTCCTAAAATCAGTGCAGTTAGGATACGCTATTGGAGTGCATGAGCCAAGAAGCTGCTTCTACTCTAGACAAAGAAAGAGAAACCCCCCTGAAATCCTTACCAAGCAGGCAAAAATACTCTTCCATCTGGGCTTCCATAGCTTTGCTTTCTGCTTTCTGTTTCCTAAGCCAAAACCAGAGTTTCAAGCCCCTCCTTTCCTTGCACGTGAACGGCTTGCAGCACCTCGTCCCCTCCCCGTAGCGAGATAAATGACCTGCTCTGTGACTCACACTGTATCCTTCTCTCTCCCTCTCCTTAACCTTTCCCATCCCGCTTCAACTCCTGGCCATACAGAGAATGAACAGCCTTCCCTCGTTTGGTTTGACAGAGGAAAGTTTTATTTGACTTTCGAAGGTAAGTAGTGCATAGCATACCCGGTAACCACTTGCTCCCCTTGCTCTTGCTCTCTGACTCCCGCGGTTTCCTTCCAAGGCTCCAGTCCGGCTTTCCATGCAAAATGCTGCAGCTACTTAGATGACATCGCAAGTTCGATCCGGAATCATTTTGATTTGTGCTATTTGTCCTGATGATCTGTTTCCCTGTTTATTCATTCAAAACCAACCCAAACAAACCAAAACCCAAAAGACTCTTCTCATACCGAGACTGCGGTGGAAACCAGAGAGCCAAAACCGCTTGCACTGCCGAGGAACTTGACTCTGTCAACCAGGGCTTCTTTCTACTCTCCCTTGCGAGCTGCTCGTCACCCTGAGCAGGCTGTGGCACAGTGTGGTTAATTACAAACCAAAGGGTGATGGGTTCTTTGCCAAGCCACGGCCCTCTTCCCATTGGATTTTTCCATGGTGAGGGGTCGGATGCATACTGCATTGCCAGCAAGCATCACTGAAATGCCGACAGGTTGTGCTGCCGGGGTGGCTGCTCAGAGGTGTTGTGAGTTCTGGGGACCCTAGTCAATGAGAAGCCTCTTTGGGGAGGATGCAGGGGGAGAAGAGCTTGTTTTGGGGTGGATGGCAGCTTCTCTGAGCAGCATCACATCTTGGACAGGGCAGAGGCACCAGTGCTGGGCAGCCAGCCCCGCATGAGAGCCCTGAGGCTTTGGAAGAAGCCTCATCCCACAGACAACATGCCAACATGCTTCCTTGTAAAACAGCAAAGCAGGGAGGTTTGCTAGCAGCAGGAATTGGTGCTTTAAAACCAGCTTTGGAGCTGCTGTAGTGCTTGCAGGCAGAGCTGTGCTGGGGCTAACTGGAGATGCTGATGGCATGGGACATACTGGAGGACGGATCCCATATGTGATCCATAAGTGTGTGCCTTCCAGTAAATAGCTGTTGAGCATGGGCTGCTTGTATTTATAGAGCAAACCCCATTCTGGTGAGCGTGAAGCTGTAGGAGCAGCAGAAGGCAGGGATGGAGGTGGTGGTAACCAGGAGAGTGGTTTCTTTCTTCCTTCCTTCTTGGCTTTTCATCAGCCACAGTGGCTGGGTCCCAAGGTCCCCACTTGATGTTCCCCATTCCAATGTCAGCTCCTGGCATAGACCTGGGAGGGGGCCATGGAGGAAGAGCTGATGCTGGGTGAAAGCAGCCACCTTTGTATCCCTCAGGAGTTATAACCTGGCACCGTGTTTCCTCTCCTCCTCGCTCAGTCTAGCACCAGCACTGTGAGAACATTCAGTATTTGGGGGGTTTCCTGTGGTTTTGTATATTGATGTTTTGGAATGGTATATTGAAAATCTTACACTTTGTCCTGGCAGTGTGGATGGCCTGGAGCAGGAGGTGCGCTTGTCCAGGGAACGCTGGCTGCTTGTGAAAGAGATTGTTCTGAGCCCCTGTGTCCAACCTGGCCTTGAGCACTGCCAGGGATGGGGCAGCCACAGCTTCTCTGGGCACCCTGTGCCAGCGCCTCAGCACCCTCACAGGGAAGAGCTTCTGCCTAAGAGCTCAGCTCAGTCTCCCCTCGGGCAGGTTCAAGCCATTCCCCTTGGCCTGTCCCTACAGGCCCTTGTCCCAAGCCCCTCTCCAGCTTTCCTGCAGCCCCTTTAGGCACTGGAGCTGCTCTCAGGTCTCCCCTTCAGGAGCCTTCTCTTCTCCAGGCTGCCCCAGCCCAGCTCTCTCAGCCTGGCTCCAGAGCAGAGCTGCTCCAGCCCTCGCAGCATCTCCATGGCCTCCTCTGCACTCGAGCAGGTCTTTTGGATATCTTGTGTTTCTGGGCTTGGGTTTTTCTGTGCTAGGATCCGTGCATTTGCAGAACGTGGGGCAGTGTGTTCATGTGTGATGAGACACAGTGAAGTTTGGTGATGCTCTCCTGTATACACGGGCAGAGCTGCCTACCAGGATCACTGGTACTCAGCCATCTTTACTCCACATCTGTATCTTCCACCTTTGTGTAGGGAAAATAAGGCAAATGAACCTGGTGAGCTGCATATGGCTGGGTCCAAAGCTTCATAAAGTGTTGGGGGTTTTTCCCCTCCAGGATTATCAGGTCATTTTGCCAAAAGGAGAAGCTTCTCTAAATGACTTCTGAAGCAGTCATTGAAAAGCCGGATTTTTGGTGGAGGCGTTCCGGAGGAACCAGACTTGTCTCTCGGGTTTCTGGAAGAGAATTCTCGGGTTTAAAATAGAGTATACTTTTCTTTTCACATCAAAGTTTTAACTGAAAGAGTTGTTTAGTCTCTGAAGCCATTAAGAGAAGAATATGAGGTTCATGAGGGAAGTGTGGAGGGAACTGAGAGCCAGGAATGCCAGTTCCATCCTCATGATCTTTCTGCAAAGCCAGATTGGAAATGTGGAGGATGTTTGGTTGCTGTTCATATGGACTCAGATTTTGAAAGGCCACCTGAGCCTGGTGATAGAGCTATGTGAGATGAGCTGGTTTATTCTTGCACACAGGATTTTCCTTCTGGAGAATGAAGAAATCTCCTGTACATGCAGATAAATGAGTGGAAGAAATGAGACTGAAAATCAGGGGTAAGGCACATTGGTATAAGAGATGCCAGCCCCTCATTTGATGTCCCAGTGCAGGGTGTAGGCTAAACCCAGCTGGTGCCAGAGCACGTATATTCAGGAGGTGGCTTTTTTCCTCTCCCAAATAACAATGATTGCATTGCCAAGGATAATGGGGTTTGCTGCCGCTGGATGGCTAAAGACCTTCCTCTCACCTTCCCTGCTGAGATTAACCCGGTGTTCCCCTGCTGAGTGATACCTCCAGTTTTCTCCCCTCTATAGCCAGTCTGTATTGATGGCTTTGAATCCCATCTGTATTTCTGGGTGGATGTGATGAGAATATCCCACTGTGTTCAGCTGGATTCTAGGTGCTGTGGGGTGGTTGCTGTGTGTGTGGAGCGAGGCTGTGCTCCCCGATAACCCATTAGTTGTGTCGTGGAAAGAGTTTATACAAAACATGTTGCCTTTGCGTGGCTGGCGCTGATGGGAAGTGTCAGCTCTTTAACGGGATGTTGGCTGCGTTCCTGATGGATGCATAGCTCGGGGCTGGGGCCTCAGAAGCAGAAGGCTTGCGGAGCCCAGGCTGCCTCCCTGGGGTCATTAGGATAATTAATGTGTGTGTGGTGATGGGTCTGTCCTCTGTGTGTGACATGCTCAGCCTGCCCATCCCGGGTGCTGGGGCACTCGGATGCGCTGCCCTTACTGAGCATCGCTAGTCCAGGCCGTGACTGAAATCACTCCCCTGAGCCTTTTAAAATGTATGTCCAAGAGGAGATGTGTGGCTACATTAATTTTTTACACCCTTTTAGGCTCCATTAGACATTGGAAGGGAAAATCCCAGCACTGGAGAAGCTCATGTGTGCCTCTGTGAGGGAGTGGCTGTGGTTTTATGCATTAACTCACTGCCTGCATGGATGGATTTGTAAGGCAGGAGGAATCCTACGAATGCCACGTTCTTTCACAGTTAATACATCACAACTCAGAGTGTAATTTAAGTGACAGAAGCCCTTTCCTCAGGAAACGTTATGAATCCTGATTCCCTGCAGCCAAACCCTATTATCTACTCGCACAAGACATGCAGCGGTGAGCCAGGACCTCACTGTACCTCACACAAAACCCACGGCAGCTTGCTTAGATGCAAAGAAGAAAGCAACAGACAACAGGGCAGCGGTGGGAAGCAGCAGATGAAGAAGGGAGGGGGGTGTTTTTGAGGACAGGCTGAGCAGGAGCTCACCAGAGACAAGCTGCATTTCACTCGGTTGCTTTGCTCCGCTGCCTGTGGAGGTGCTGCCCTTCCCCAGGCCAGCATTTAATGTTGTATGGATTGGGTTCAAGCTGGCCCGTGCTTGTATGTCTAAACAAAACCCTGGGCTCACCTAATAGCCCCTTCCACCTGCCTGATTCAGGCACTGTAAATGAAGGTAACAGTAAAGGGGGTGTCAGGGTCCCTGAGGAAGCTGCCCCTCCAGAGACCTTCGCCATCCCTTTTTAGCTGGTTTGGGGTAAAACAATCCTTGTGCTTAACCTGATACATAAACTGTGATACTAGAAAGGGTTCCAAAATGGTACACTGCAGAAAAATATGAACTGGTGATGCTAGCACAGGGCTGGTGACCTCCTGAGGGCTTTTTTGGGTGCCCAGGGGATCAGCACCTTGTACATTGGGGGAGTGACCAGAAATCAACCCCAAGCTGATATTCCAGCAGTTTCCTTGGGGAAAAGAGGAAAGCTTTGCTGTGCCAACAGTCCACATCACTTTCCTCCTGGTGGTGGGCACAAGGAGCAAGACATTGCTCCCCATGCAGGGTCCCCACCATGCCCAGAGCTTCTGGCATCCTCTTGCAGTGATGCTTTCATTTTCAGTTGTTGTTCAGTGACCGGCATTCCTGGCCAGCAAAGGGAAACCTGTGTGTGATCGTGCAGGGATGAATTATTTAGAGCCTGGCTAGCATCCATGGATATGCAGCATGACCAAAGCAAACTTTTCCCCTTCTATTGTTACTGTGGATGGACCGCTCTGGCTCTTGCACCCAGTCCCATGTTCTCCTTTGCAATTCCAGATGTATGATGATTTGCAGATGTGCTGTAGCGTGCCATGGGCTTGGTGGGGTGAGCAGGGGGTTTTGCCAGGCAGGAAAGGGGAGCATGCCAGGGATTGCAGGGTCTCCCTACGGTTGGGGTTCCTGTAGGCAGGATGAGGGCAGGAAACCTGCTGACATCCCACTTTCCCACAGGCAACCTGAGCTCTCCAGCCAAGGGATAAGGAACCTCCAGGATCCCTCCTGCTGGAACCCAGAAACCTACTGCAAAAACTGTCATGCAAAGCCTGTTGTGTGGCAGCCCCTCGGAGCCGTGCCGGGGGTGCTGCCCTGCATGCTGCTCCTGCCTGGGCGCCTCTGTTATTTCTTTGCTTGCTTGAGCGGGTTGGGAGGGAGAAAGATCATTTCAGAGTGCTTTTAAAGCCTCATCCAAAGCCTGGGGGACTTGCTGCTATTGTTTGCCCATAAAGCTAGGCCGGGGCTCATGGGGAGCACCCCTTTGCCCTGGTGCTGGGGGGAGCAGTGCGGGTTCTCTTTGCAGGTAAGAAGTGGAGGTTTCTGCTCTGTTGCAGGCTCATCACGGGGCCCGAGCCCCCTGACCATGGGGGCACAGGACACCCTGCCCGTCGCTGCTGCCTTCACGGAAACGGTCAATGCGTACTTCAAAGGGGCTGACCCAAGCAAGTAGGTGCCAACCGATGGGGTCTGGGTGTTGATATGGGGGTCCTGGGGTCAGGACAGGCTTAGGGTGCTGTTGAGGCTTGGGTGAGTGTAGGGAGGGAGGAAAGGAGGTGTTTTGCTCTTAGTGTATCAGTGCACCAGGCAGAGGTCCAGGCTCAGGATGCTCATGGGGCATCCCCGTGAACATCAGCCCCCATCCCTAGCAAGTGGCCAGACTTTGCTTGCTCTGGTTTAGGACCACAGGAGGTTGTTCCCTCAGTGTGGTGGGCGGGAAGAGGGGGCTGTCACTGCACTGTCCCCTCCTGCTGCATTTTGAGCCCCTCATTTCCTCCCCCCTTGGTGTCTGTTCGGCGCTGCAGGTGTATTGTGAAGATCACGGGGGAGATGGTGCTGTCGTTTCCCGCGGGCATCACCCGACACTTTGCCAACAACCCCGCTCCAGCGGTGCTCACCTTCCGCGTGCTGAACTACAACAGGCTGGAGCACGTCCTGCCAAACCCCCAGCTCCTCTGCTGGTGAGCACCCACCCCGCCGGCATCCCAAAGGAATGCGGGTATCCAGGAAAGTAGGGTGCTGTGCAAAAACACATGGCCCGGGGTATCTTCCCTGGAGGCCTGCCCTGAGCTGGAGAAGCAGCAGAGGGACAGGATCCCTTCCTCAAGCTGCTGCTCACGCTCTGGGGGTGCAGCTCAGCATACAGGCAGGTTCAAGTGCACATTGGAGCTGGGTCATGGGGAGCTTCTCCTCACTCAACACCCCAAGTCCTTCTCCTCAGGGATGCTCCATCCAGTATCCCCCAGCCTCTCTTTGTGCTGGCAATTGCCCTGACCCAGGGGCAGAACCTTGCACTTGGCCCGGTTGAACTTCATGAGCTTCTTATTTGCTGCATACCCCTTCTGAGCTCAGCCCCTTTGCCAGGCAGAAGAGCATCAGCAGAGAGGTGCAAGTGCTTTGATAGGGTTTGCTTTTGTGCCTCACTCTGCTCATTAGACCTCCTGTTTGCAAACCGAGATGACCTACAGGTTGCATCTGCTGTTCCTCCTTGGATGTGACTGAGGACAAGCCAGAGATGTGTGTGAGGAAGGGATTATTTCCCTAAACATGGGGTTATTGTGGTCCCAGCTGGTGGCTGGCACTGCTGTCCTGCATGCTTGGTAGAAAAGCTTTCTTCTGCTGAGGTGGCTTATGCAGAGTGTTAACTCTCCCTCTGTGCAGTGACAACATCCAGAGCGACACCAACACAAAGGAGTTCTGGGTCAACATGCCAAATCTGATGACTCACCTAAAGAAGGTATCGGAACAGAAACCACAAGCCACCTATTACAATGTGGATATGCTCAAGTACCAGGTAGGAGCTTTATTGTGAGATAAACTATGCCAAAAAATGTGTGCTTAACTTATAGATGTAAAAGATGGTATTTCCCTAGTGCAGAGAGGAGATAACGTGAGGTGGGGGCATGTAACCCTTCTGTATGTCACTTGGATTGCCTGACTTTGAGCCCAGTTCAAACTTTCCCATGGGAACACAGGGTGTTGTCTCCTCTGAAACCAAATGCAATGACTGCGTCTGTAAAATGGGCTTTCTCCCTTCACCCCTATGGAAACTAAATGTTTTTTCTGTCATTTTGGAAGGTGTCTGCCCAGGGTATTCAGTCTACTCCATTAAACCTTGCAGTGAGCTGGCGCTGTGACCCTGCAAGCACTGACCTCCGCATCGACTACAAATACAATACAGAGGCAATGACCACACCGGTAGCTCTAAACAACGTCCAGTTCCTCGTGCCCGTCGATGGAGGAGTAACCAAACTTCAAGCTGTGCTTCCTCCTGCTGTGTGGTAAGAACTGCTCCCCTGGGCAACAGCTTGCTTGCTATTTCTGCCATGCCCCTGCCTAAACCAGCTGTCCTGGCTGCAGGAGCGGCATCACCCTGGGGAAGCGGCTGTGGGTGGGGGAATGCTGGGGACCCAAACCTGTCCTCCTCTTGCACAGGAAGCATACAACCCCACTCTGGTGCTTTCTTCTTGCCATTCCCACAAGCAAAGGGTCAGGGCTGAACAACTGGAGAAGCTGTGGCTGCCCCATCCCTGCCAGTGTTCAAGAACCCCAGCCTGGTTTGTGTTGGAAGGGACCTCAAAGCTCACCCAGCCCCAACCCCTGCCAAGGGCAGGGACCCCTTCCACTGGAGCAGCTTGCTCCAAGCCCCTGGGTCCAACCTGGCCTTGAGCACTGCCAGGGATGGGGCAGCCACAGCTTCTCTGGGCACCCTGTGCCAGCGCCTCAGCACCCTCACAGGGAAGAGCTTCTGCCTAAGAGCTCAGCTCAGTCTCCCCTCGGGCAGGTTCAAGCCATTCCCCTTGGCCTGTCCCTACAGGCCCTTGTCCCAAGCCCCTCTCCAGGTTTCTTGTTGGCCCCTTTAGGTATTGGAAGACTGTCCAAACGTCTCCCCAGAGCCTTCTCTTCTCCAGGCTGAACCAATTCTCCTCTTCATGTGTTTTTAGGAATGCTGATCAGCAAAGGATATTGTGGAAGATCCCTGATATCTCTCAGAAGTCAGAAAACGGAGGTAATCCTATAAATGTGCATGTTATTAACTTTGAATAATTAAATCAGACAGTAACCTGTTTATCACGCCTGCACACAAATACAGACACATAGATGCCTGCTGGCGCTTGCTAGGGAGGGAGCTGTTTAAAGCTAGGAGCAAAGAGTGGTATGTACTGCTTGTACTGTTTTGCCAACAGCTTTGGCATCACAGATGGGTATTAACACACCTGGTTTGGACAAGGTTGTTTGCCATGTCTTATGCTCTGTTGACCCTCTGCACTGAAGTCAGATGCCCCATGTTGCATCCTGGTTAAGGAACCACAGTGCTTCTCCGCATGTAACTGATGCAGCTCCTCTGCATCATATCACTGCAGTGTCTGAAAAGATAAGATCTGCTGGGAGGATGAGGGGGGTTGCTCTGCCCCATCCAGGGGGTACTGAGGAGTTGGGTACCACCAGAGCAGTGTGCTTCGCTTGCATCGCTTTGGGCATCTCGTTGCCTTTGCTGGCAAGCGCAGCTCTGGGATGCACAGAATTCCCCTCCAGCCTTGGAATGATCTCATGGGATTTTAAATTGCAGGCGTGGGGTCTCTGCTGGCCCGGTTCCAGCTCTCGGAGGGGCCCAGCACCCCGGCCCCCCTGGCTGTGCAGTTCACCAGCGAGGGGAGCACGCTGTCCAGCTGCGACATCGAGCTCGTCGGCGCCGGCTACCGCTTCTCCCTCATCAAGAAGAGGTTTGCGGCAGGTAGGTGCCTCATCGGTGGCTCCTCTTGGGATCCGTGTCCATGATGGCCCCCTCCGCTCTGCTGGCATGCCTGGGACTGCCCGTGCAGTGCTTGTGTTGACCATTCAAGCCCAGAGGGCCTGCTACATCAGGGCATGACAGCGGCAGAAGGGCAAAAGCTCCTTTGCATGATATAAATCCTGCTGCTGCCTATGAGAGCCTTGAATTTCATGGGTTCTTTTCCACTCACGGGTCCTACATGGAGAAAGCAAGGGCTGGGGATCTCCAGGAAGAGCTTTTGCCCCATTGTTGCATAGAAATACAAGTACTTTTCCATGTGCTGCCCGTGCGTTGCCCTGGGTGTAGGGTCTGGCAGAGGTGGGTGACCATCCCCCAGGACTCAGGGCTGCTCTGTCGCCACAGCTGATTTCTGATCCCATTTCTAGGTAAATACTTGGCTGATAACTGAAGGAAGCTTATGCAAGTCTGTGGAAAATAATATGGAAAAATACCCAAGGACTGCTGTGCGTGGAACGGATTTTAATTACAGTTAAAGGAAAATGAACTAAATCCTGCACTCGGGACATGTCTGTTGGAAGTGTCGACAACTTTCAGCATTTTTTTTCCTTGGAAAACACCGTCTTGACCAGTCCTACAGTATTTACTTCTAGATGTAACATTGTTAATGGTTTTAAAATGTAATTATTGTATTTGTAAATTGTACTCATTCCAGTAAGGCTGTATTTTGGCAGTTAGACACTTGAGTTTTAGCATTTTACCATTCATGAAATGGATGTAATTTAAACTGTGGTATATAAATTTAATAGTAGTACTGTTGAATGGCACAATGCTTACAGAGGTAGATTACATTTTGTCAATATATACGATTTAAATACAATACTGATAGCTGTTACGAAGGGGGTGCCTCATCAAAAGAGAGTTAAGTACAACTGACATGCTGATTTCTTTTTACTTCAGTCCTTGGTATGTCTCACGGTGGTGAATAAAAAGCTGTACCTTCAGGTTTAGCTGGTTTAACTCCAGATGGATATTGATGTAAATGTGGAGGTTCCTAATTCAGTCTCCCAGCAAAACGTAAGGGAAAAAGTCACTTCAAAGAGTATTTCCTTCAAATTTCCATTACAAAAATCCTCCTTTAAGTGTTCTCCTGCAGCCACAGATTAACTCTCAGGAGTGCCAGCAGGGAGTGCATGGGTGATAAGTACCTCTCTCTGCTTCCTGTCCTTCCCTTTTGCAGGGATGCAGATAAGGAGATGAGCAGGCTAAGAGGCTGGGTAGTAAATTCGAGCTTACAGCACTGCCTGGAAATGTGATTGCTGTTTTTACGGATGTGTTTCCTGAGCAGCTCCCAGTTCTTTGGTTGCATTTCTATGTTCCTTTCCTTGCTTTTCCCAGTTTGGTTATTTTTCTCCCCATTTTTGAAAGCCCCATGGGTTTAGATAATGCTAAACTGGAGGTTGTGGGCTTGAAATTGCCCATCTGCATTTTCCCTCAGCTGATGTGGGCTCCTGCACCTTGAGCTGCTCGTTCCTGTGCATGGCCTGGGCGAATGTGGTGATATGGAGGGAAAAAGTAGTGATCTTTCCAAAATGAAATAAATGCACTTCTGTTCAGATGCACAGAGAAGCATGGGAGCATCTGCTGAACAGGGTGCTGGCACTTGAGATGTGTATGATAACAGATAGTGCTAATTTTACAGTCCCAAATGTTGCAAGGATTAGGTTTGTGCATTTGCGTTGCAAAACTTCAGACTGTGCATGTTGGGAAGTGCTTGCTCACAGAGCAGTTTGGAGGGATGTAAGAAAAAAGAAATTAATGCCATCTGAAAAAAAATAATAAGAAAATCTGAGATATTTCAGTTCTAGGGTGACTCCTGTGTACATTAGGGCGGTTGAGTTGTGTGCTTGCTCCCAAAACAGAATCGCAGATCCCAGCCTGGTTTGGGTTGGAAGGAGCCTTAAAGCTTATCCCTTCCCAACCCCCTGCCATGGGCAGGGACCCCTTCTGCTGGAGCAGCTTGCTCAAAGCCCCTGTGTCCAACCTGGCCTTGAGCACTGCCAGGGATGGGGCAGCCACAGCTTCTCTGGGCACCCTGTGCCAGCGCCTCAGCACCCTCACAGGGAAGAGCTTCTGCCTAAGAGCTCAGCTCAGTCTCCCCTCGGGCAGGTTAAAAAGAAGATTAAGCACAATTCAGTTATGCAGCTTCATTTCCCTTTGCAGTTTTTGAAAGTACCCTTGCTGGTACTCCTGGATGGGGTGTTCAATTCTGTTAATATTTTTTCCCGTGAAATAGGAACCCGTATAAACTGTGTAACCTTCCCCTTTGTGACACAGGGATATAGGGCAAACTATAAGAATCAGGTTTTGCATAGGCAGTAGATGCTGTGTACAATTGTTATAAACACATGCTTCCAAAAGAGATCTATGTCTTAGTCCAGAAAATAAGGATTTTGTAATGTAAATATTACCAGAACATAGCTATTTTACTTTATATTTCATTTGAAAGACAAAGTGTTTACATTAGCATTGGGGTTTAAAATGCTTTTTAAATGAAAAAACCCATAACCCAAAGCTTCCCAGCCTGTCCATTTGTGCTGTCCCACAAAACAGAGGTAGCTTCTACGGGTGTGTGGCGGTGCTGGGATGCAGCTTGGGTAGAGAGATGAGAATGTCCCGTACCCATTCTATACGGTCCCCTTCCAGCCAGCAGCAGGAGACACCAAACAACTATTCCCAGCCCATTACACTGGGATCAAAGCCAGCAGTTTGGGACAGTTTGGGATGTTTTTGTGTACTGCTTTTGCAAGGTTTTTGCATGGTGGTGTAGTTCAGTAGGTGTTTGCTCAGGAGTGTTGGATCATGTGTCTCCCCTTTCCCTCCCCGCATGACCTTTGTGAGGAGATGTTGCTCCACGTTGATGGTTTGGTTTTGCTGCCTTGCTGGTGTCTGAGCAGAGTGGCAAAGTGCCCCAGGGATGGTTATTTTGTCGGCTGCTTCATACAATCCCAGCCTGGTTTGTGTTGGAAGAGACCTTAAAGCCAATCCAGCTCCAACCCCTGCCACGGGCAGGGACCCCTTCCACTGGAGCAGCTTGCTCCAAGCCCCTGGGTCCAACCTGGCCTTGAGCACTGCCAGGGATGGGGCAGCCACAGCTTCTCTGGGCACCCTGTGCCAGCGCCTCAGCACCCTCACAGGGAAGAGCTTCTGCCTAAGAGCTCAGCTCAGTCTCCCCCCATGTTTCAGACCAATGTCCTTTTACAATATTTCTTAGTAACTATGAAATTGCTCAGTACTCTGAAATACTACCAGATAATAAGCTTTTAATTCGAGTTTTGCGTCACTCCCCTGTTATAAAGCTTCTTCTCTTATTTTGCTGGGAGGCCACTGTCCATTAAACTCCTATTCTTGCCCAGCAGGTATGAATTCTTAATGCATACATGTACGGATTCACTCCCAAAAGCTTTGTCACATGAGCACGATCTCATACTGAGCAAGTTACACAACTCCGGATGCAGGTTGGACTCAGTGATGTTAGTGCTGTTATTTGGTATTTCAGTTAATTTTGTCTTCAGCGTGCCCTTTCAGGTTTTATCTATAGGAGGATTTTAAAACATAGATGGCAAAGAGAAGTTTTATGTTAAAATGCCATCCAGTTTTGGCAGGCAGGGAGGGATAGGGATGGAAAGCAGTGTCCTTTTGCCAGGCACATGTCACAGCGCATCGCAGAGGAATTCTGCTCCATTTCATCTTATTACTTTGGAAACACAGCCCATGGGTCTGTTACACAAGCACCCAACATCTACTTGAGAAAACCACTTCATGGAGTGATTTTCCCCTACCCTTTTCTTGGGTTTACTTGAAAATATCTTGGTTAAAATACTTAATTTTGGGAGCTTAGTGTGACCAAATCTGTACCATCACTATGTAATAACTTTCTCAGTAAAAAATGACTGTCTCAAGGATTTAATTTCATAACCAGAATTCTTTTCTTTTCTCACAATTTCCCAAAGAACATCATTCTTGCAGAGTTGGGAAGTTTTTATGATTACCAGTGTTTCAGTTCTTACTTCATTGCAAGAAATACCCCCACCACACCCTGCGTGACCCTATACCTTTAGGAGGGACTGCAGATAACACTGCTGCCAACTGCTCTTAAAATCACGAGCATTCAAAGGTTTGCACTCGAGCAGGACTTCAGGCCAAGCAGTACGTGGTAAAACATACCAGAATATCTTATTCCTTTGTTAGAAATCCCCCTTTCGGGACATGGGGTGAATGGTTGCAGGCATGCTGCCCGGCTGTTGGGATTATAATCCACATAGGAGGGGTTTTCCACTGCAGAATGCTCCCAGGTTGATGAAATCACCTGGTTGCTCGGATGGTATAAAACATCCAGAGATGTTAGCTGTGGTCTGAGAGAGGGATTGGGTCAGGCTCTGGTTTGCAGCTCCGGGTTGCTGGGTGAAGGGCACAGGGCGCAGGAGAACCTCACTGTGACACCTCAGAACCCAGAGGATGCCCCGGGATCGAATTGGATTTCCCCAGGTATCGCCCTGTATCATTTTATGAACTCCCTCATGTATAAAATGTTTATAAATATTTGTGGATTAAGATACACAGGTCTATTTTTAAGATTTAAGTTAAATAAGTTAATTAATGGCTGGCCTTTTTTGCCTAAACGTGCAATGAGATATATTATACCTTTAGTCGACGATGGCCTAGGTACTGCTTAGTCTGTGATGAAAACTTTGCTGCTTACCTACTGTTCTCAGAGAAAAATGACCCACTGTAAAAGCCGTCTGGGTTTGTTGCACACGGACTCTCGCAGCAAAGCTTTGTATTTGACCACTGGTAATATGAATGTGTTGTATTGACTCGTTGAAGATAATCATGAACCAACATATTTTAAATGTTTACTTGCCTTATAGGGTAGAAGACGACGACGTGGATATCATTTTTTTTGTAAATAATGTTTTTTATAAATGTCTCCCCTCCATTCCCCCCGTCGCCCATTTCACAAAATCTTGAATATGCAATTATTTACCATGCATCACGTTGCAACAAACGGAGCCCTGCGTCAGAACAAAGTTTATGAATTCTGTACATCAGAACCACGTTAAATCCCCAACTGAGCTGCAATTTAAATGTGATTATTATTATTTTTTTCCTTGAAAATAAACAAAAATCTGTAAAACACGACCTTTTCGGAGTGAGCTTTGCTGGCAGGGGTGGGAGTACCCAGAGGAGCAGGGGCTACCACGTCCCTGGCCAAAATCATCATCATTGCTGGAGCTATGTGGAGCATCCTGGCTTGGGGACACATTGGGGGTGGTGTGGGGCAGATGTGGGGAGATGGGAGCCACACAGACTGAGAACATTGGGGCTGTTCAGCCTGGAGAAGAGACCTCAGAGCAGCTTCCACTGTCTGAAAGGGGCTACAAGGATGCTGGAGAGGGACTCTTCGTTAGGGACTGTAGCAATAGGACAAGGGGTGATGGGTTCAAACTGAAACAGGGGAGGATCAGGTTAGATCTAAGGCAGAAGCTCTTCCCTGTGAGGGTGCTGAGGCGCTGGCACAGGGTGCCCAGAGAAGCTGTGGCTGCCCCATCCCTGGCAGTGCTCAAGGCCAGGTTGGACACTAGAGCAAGTTGCTCCAGTGGAAGCTAGCTCCCTTGCAACCCAAACTAAACTGGGATTATATTGTTCTGTGATTCCCAGAGACCATGGGGATGAGTGGAGCCTGACAGGATACATGGAGGCTGTAGGGACATGAGGCATCATGGCTCTGGTGGCTTGGGAGGATTGAGAGGACTGCGGATGCCATGGGGACATGCCCAGGCTGTAGGGACACAGTGGGGCTGTAGGCACATGTGGGGACGTGAAAGGCCATGGATGCCCATGGGGGCTATAAGCACATGTGGGGTCCTGTGGAGGCCGTGGGTACCCATGGGGGTTGTAGGCACACATGGAGACCTGTGGGGGGCATGGGGGTCCGGAGGTCCCATAGGGGCTGTGGGGGCCATGGGGATACAGAAGCCCACAGAGCCCCGCCTGCAGGCACAGGAGGTCCGTGGAGCTCCGGAGGCGGCGAGCACACGGAGCCTGCGGGGACGGAGCCAACATGGCCGCCGTGCTGAGCGAGCTGGCTGCGGGCAGCGCCGCCCCGCGGCCGCAGGGAGCCGGGAGCCGTGCTCCGACACCGGCCGCCCCGCTCCCGCCATTCCGCCTGCCCTCAGCAGCGGAGCAGGATGCAGGGCGGTGCGGCCGGCAGCGAGCCCCCCCCCTTCGGTAGGTCCCGGGGCCGGGCGCTTCGGGTCGGGAGGCGGCGGCCTCTGGCTTCAGCGCGGTGTTTCCGTCAGGAAAACCGAGTTTAACCTCCCCGCCTGCCCCTCAGGTCCGTCCAAGCGCTTCCCGGTGGCGGCGGTGGATGCTATCCTGAGGGATGTGCTGGGGAGCTGCCTGCGGGAGCAGCCCTACGAGCCCGTGCGGTGCAGGGAGATGGTGAAGGACATCGCTGAGGTACCGCTGCGGCCATTTTGCCCTCACGCCTCGACGGGGTGACAGGGAGGAGGCCCTCGGGGCCGGGAGGTCCCGAATGTGGATATGAAGTGTAAAAGTGATGCTGGGGGGAAGTCAGGGTACACCAAAGGTTGCTCTGAGGCGGGTGTGGGTTTATACGAATTAATTATGAGGTTTATTTGAGTAGCAGTGGCTCTGGCCAAGCACATGGTGCAGTAAAAACTCCACGCTGTGGTTGCTCTGCCCAGGAATATCATAACTAAATCCAGGTATATGTCGGACCTCTTAAAAACAGTATAGTTACCGTAGTGACTGAATTCTGAGCAGTGGTAGGTGTGCAAACTCCTCCTCAGTTAAACCCAGGCTTGTTGCTGAGGGGAGACTGTCCTGACCCTTCAGTCTCAGCTGGTTTGGCTCAGAATTGGCATTAAAAAAGGGGTACTGTTTGCTCTTCCTTTCCTCCTGTAATCAGGTAACTGTGAATCTGTACAGAGAGCATGGTATTCACTGCAGTCTAAACTTGGTTTTGTCTTGCAGGTTATTAAAGCGCGGGTAAAAGACCTGATGATACCCAGGTACAAGATCGTTGTGGTGACACACATTGGGCAGCTGAAGGAACCGAGCATCCAGATCGGAAGCAGGTGCCTGTGGGATCCTGTGAGCGATACGTTTTCATCGTACGTGTTCAAGAACGCTTCACTTTTTGCTCTTGCAACTGTCTATGCTGTTTATTTTGAATAAGGTAGAGTTTAACGCAGGAGAAGTGAATATCCAGCCTAACTCTTCCTGTTTCTGTTGTGGAAAAGGGTTGTGAAGGACCAAGGCAACTTTCACCTGTTTGAAATGTGGTTACCATGAGCCTTCCAGTGGTGAATGTAATAACTGTACTTCCCAGAGTTCCCTCTGGGATGTGATTTGCTGTGACGTGCTGGTTTGCACCTGATTCTAGCTGCTTTCACAACTGGGTGTCCCCGAAATACTTTATTTCACCCTGAATTTGCTCTTACTGAGTAACCCCAAGTAGAAAACACAGAGGGATTTTGGGAAAGTCAACCAAAAGCATTTTAAAACCGTCCCTGCTAAGTGGCAACTGCAGACAGGGGAACACATGCTGGGCCTGTGGCCCTGGCTCCATGCACATACTGTGTTGCAGATGCTGTGTCCCATCAAGCTGTGATAACTCAGTGTTGCGAGTTACCGTGCCCTGGGACAGGGGGGTACCTTCAGACCTTCCTGCTGAAGAGAGGAAAGGAGAATGGGTCATTCTGGCCTGGCTCCCCTTGCACCCTGAGTACAGAAAAGGTGGCCAGGAGAAGGTATCTGGTTCTGCTTTGAGGAGACCAGCTCAGTTCCATTTGGTTTCAAATCAAGTGAAAAACATCAAATCATATCATGTTTCGAGTATATAGATCTAACATATCTGGGCCCTTCTGTTGAAGGTGCTTGAATCCAGCAAAGAAAAATTGAATTGAGGTTCTCAGCTGATAGATGCTTATAGCTAAGAGAGGAAGTACCTGTGAGCTCAGAAGTGTGTTGCCAGTCTCCCTGGGTGCAGATTAACTGTTCACTTGATAGGATCTTGTATAGTCATTACTGGAAGCAGCTGGAATAGGGAATAAATCCTGGCTGTTGCCTGCCCAGTTTGGGGCTGGTAATGGCTGATGGCAGCCCTTCCCTGCTGAAGTAGTGGGGTCTGGCTGCCTTGCTGCACTGTGTGGTACTCCACCAGAGCTGTCTGCATGGCCTTGGTTTGGTTCTGGTTCTGATAAAGGACTTGTTGCTACCCATATTTCACAGCTGAAACCTGCTGCTGGGCTTTCATAAGAGAATGAGCATATAATAAATTGCATGGCTTACTGGATTTTATGTGGAACTAGAACAGTAGTTAGATGGAAAGAGGTATTTGTACTGATGACTAGAAGTTTAATTCTAAACCACTGTGAGGACTTTGTGGCATCCAGGCATTCCAGCCTGAACTGTCCTTGCAGCATTTACTAGCTTGCACTACATTGAACATGCAGCCTTTACTCCCTAGTGTGCTTCAGATAATAAAGCTATGGTTCAAGAATACAACTGAAATAATAGTGTTTTATGTCATGATTATTTATTATGTGAAAGCCGTGACATCAAACCTCGTCAGCATCTGCTGTGTTTCAGCACAGGGTGCTGATATCCCTCTCACTGCAGCCGATGCTGCAGCAGGATGTGGTGAGCAGCTTAGCTACCTCACGCTTTTGCAGCATAAATGTTTTCCTGGAGTGCTGCAAGTCCTGCTCTGTCTCAGGCTTGACATTGTGGATTTCTTCGCTGTTGGTCTCCAGACTCTGGTCTGCGTACGTCGAGGGGTCAGCATAGCCATTGTTCTCTTGTGAGAGAGGCAGGGGATTTTCACTCTCTGGCACATAAAAATTAGAAGTCATGGAATCATGAGTAATTTCTAATAGTTATCTTTACTAGAAAGATGGACTAGCCTGTGGCCAGGGAGCTGAAGGTCTTGTCTATCCTCTGTTTCCAATGTGAACAACCAAGATGGACCAGATCACTGACTTTTTACCAGGGCAGTATTAAAATAGACATCTGAATACCCATTCTGTGATTAGCATGTTAAAAAAACAGTAATTCATGGATTTATATTAAAGAGTGTTCTTTGTAGGAGCAGTTGCCTTATCAGTCTCACACTGATATATTTGTTTGAAGGGTAAAACTATGATTTGATGTGTCAGTGGCACCTGACCAGCCTGTTAGCCTGGAGTTGTGAGTGGGTTTCCTGAAAAGCAGGTGTTAAGGCATCAAATACCCCACAATTCCAAAGTTCTGGATGTTCCCACTTAAGTTACACTTGCAATTTGGGTTCATTTTTAAATACCATGGTACAAGTGGGCACTGCCTTGTGGAATTTGTAAAGGTGTAGTAGTTCTCTGGTTTAGTTCAGCGGCAGGGGTTTCTTCTGTAACAGACTCGGGTAGGGTGTTGCACGTAGCATCACTTTTTATGTTTGTTTAAGGCTGCTGCTACCATATAATTTTCATAAAAGGCAGAAGTTACTGAATGGAAGGTGTAGAAAGCCTCAGCTTCTCTCATCTGCCTCATTTAGTTTCCTTTTTCTAGTTATTTTAACCTATTAGAGTTAGAAATTATTAGCAGTAATGGCCAAATTTTCTGACTCTGTCTAAAACTGTGCTAATAAATACAAATATATACACCACAACATGAAGGTACTTAAATTGCAGAGTATGTATTTAACATACTTTAATTATAATATTATTAGGTTGTAATATAGTTTCTAGTGGGGAAAGCAGAGTGTCCTACTGAAGACAATGGTAAAGAACTTGTATGGACTGTGCAAAGCTGTCCCTGACATTTAAAATGTCATGGCTATAGAGATTACTGGTGGCAGCCTTGGCCTTAACTCATGGTTTCTCAGGTTGATTTGGAAAGTCTCATTCTAAATGTGTTTTATTTAAGCTGTGCCAAGCAAGCTGCAAGGAAACAGTAAACTTGCTGTCTCCAGGCAGAGCCTGTGCTGTTGGCATCTGAGATGTGCCTGTTCAGGGGAGCAGCAAGAGTCAAGGGCACAGCTCTGCCCTTGGGCACTGTCTGCAGGTGACACAATTCTTCTGAATCCCCTTGGAGCTGGGCTCACCTTCCAGGGGGCAATAAGACTGTAATGTGTTAATGAGTACTTACCAAACAGGTACTGATAATCAGTCAAGTGCCTTTTCCACCGAGAGCCGCCACAGGTGAAGACTATGGCTCTGACAAAGTCTCTCCCACAGAGCCGCACGCTGTTCCCTTCACCTTTGCCTTCCTGTGCTGTGATCAAGAGTGCAAGTGAGACCAGTGCTAGCACTGTGCCCCTCATGCTGCAGACTTGGTGCTTGGAAGCTGGTGTTGGTGGGGCAGGAGGGATCTGCGAGGCCAAGGTGGGGAGTTCTGCTGCCACGCTCCCTTTATACCAAAGGCCCATCCGCTCCACTGAGTAACGGCTCATACTGAGGATGACTTAATGTTTGCTAAAAACAAGCTGATGGCTTGTTTCTTTCCAGTGATGTGATGGTTTATGTGTGTCAGGTATTAAAGTCTCCTTAAGGAGTTCCTTATGGAACTACTTTGCTATACGAACATATGTGGTATATATAACATGCTTCGAGGGTGCAGGCTCAGTTTGATACCATTGATGTGTATGTTCTGCAGAAGGGAGAGGGTGTTTGTTACATGGTTTGCAGATAATGAGTGTTATCCCCGTGTATTCCCCACACAGCAGGCAACCTCTTCCCAGTCATGCCTGTTACTACAGTTTGAGTGGCATCAGGTCTTTTTCTGTTGGTGATCACAAACTAAGAGGATTTAACTCTTGTGATGTCCACAGTTGTGTGCTTTTGCATTACCTCTGCCTCGTTCTTTGTCAGGCTGGTAACTGTGGATGCTTTGAAGTAACCTGTCAGTGCTGGGCAGTCACTCACAACAAAAATGGGGTACCAAGGGGGGCTCATGCAGGCACCGGAGCCTGCAGATGCCCTGCTCTGATTCCTGGTGTGCCAAGTGGTAAGATGTGATCCTGCAGCACATGGAGCTGGCTGTGAACTGGCTGTGACAAACTACAGAGTGATGGAGTTGGTTGTGAGTTTGCATCCATAGGTATTTGCCTGGAAGTAGCACCAGTGCAGCTGCAGGGCTCAAATGTCTCTGCAGGGAGGCCTGTGGATGTGGCCCACCTCCAAAAAGGGAAGGAAAAGAGGAGATGGCTCTAAACAGAGCAGGAACAGCTAGCTACACATCAGGGTCCTGGCTGTCTTTTTGGTGGTAGCTGAAAGACACAAGTGGGTTCACTGGCGCATGGTGGAGCACTGTTACTGTGCTCCAGGACCAGAGGTTAGTAGATTATGAGAGTGGTCCCTTCCTGGTGCTTTGGATGTCATTTGCTGTAGTTGCCATCAGCTTCTATAAAAACATATTGCAATAAAATGACTTAAGGAGGAAACTTGGCAATTACAATGTCAGAAATTCTGTGATAAGAACAAAATGCAGGAGGATCTTAGGAGATCTCAAGCACTTCCTAGCACCACAAGTGTTTTCCAGCACCATAATGTTCCAGATGATGAGTTTACACTGTGTACAGGGGGAATTACAATGTGTTACAGCCTTGACAGAAAGCTGGTTTTTTACCAGTAGCATCAGTAAGTAAACAGTTAGAACCACCAATGGAAAATATGTGGTGTATTTTGTTCAGATCTGTAATAACAATTAACACATGATTCACTTTAATGGGTGTCCTTCTTTGAAATGCACAAAGATTAATTTTATGTCCAGGGTGAGCTTGCACAGTCCTTGTAAAATGTGCAGAATGCAGAAGGAAGTAAACGTTAATGCCTTACAAATGGTCTTTAACTTCAGTGATGTGTTTAAATGTTGGATGTTTATTGTCAGGCTGATGAGAGGGTCTGGATGTTCTGTATCTATGAAGTACACTTCTCAAGATGTAATGCTTGAAGGAGCAGGCAGCTATGGCCCCCGTCAGCTGGTGGGCAGGGAGCTTTACAGCCAAGCTTTGTGTCACCCTGCTCCTGTGACAGAGATCCTTGGTCTTAGTGGCTCATCTGTAGACATGCTCTGTATTTTCTGTGGGCAGTCAGGCTCTGGAAGTCCTCTAAGACACCGTGGTCCAGCAGCCTGGACACATACGTCATATAAAGAGGTTTCTGAAAGTGTCAGTGTGGAACACAGTGAGTTTAAATGGCATTTTGATATTACCCTAATTCGTAAGAGGGTGAACAAGGTTGGTCCCAGCTCCCAGACCACCCAGTGCCTCTCAGAGCTCAGCTTCCATCTCAGTGGTGGTTTATGGGATGAAAAACAAGATGCTTATTCTGCCTGGAGATGAGAAAGCACCAGGGAGACCTTAGAGCAGCTCCAGTGCCTAAAGGGGCTGTAAGAAACCTGGAGAGGGGCTTTGGACAAGGGCATGTAGTGACCGGACAAGGGGAATGGCTTGAACCTGCCCGAGGGGAGACTGAGCTGAGCTCTTAGGCAGAAGCTCTTCCCTGTGAGGGTGCTGAGGCGCTGGCACAGGGTGCCCAGAGAAGCTGTGGCTGCTCCATCCCTGGCAGTGCTCAAGGCCAGGTTGGACACAGGGGCTTGGAGCAAGCTGCTCCAGTGGAAGGTGTCACTGCCCATGGCAGGGGTTGGAGCTGGATGAGCTTTAATTTCCCTTCCAGCACAAACCAGTCTGGGATTATCTGATTTCATGATTTCACGGGAATTCAATTCACTTAGTGTATGATCTCACAGGGCAGATGCAGGCTAGTCTGGTAGGGGTTTAGGCTGTGTTTTGGAGTGACCTATGCAGGAGGTGATTTTGGCTTTTTTGGTTTTTGAGTAACCCAAGGAGAAAACACCTTGGTGAAAAAAACGAAGGAGAAAATACCAAGGAGAAAAGGTCAGGGAGACCCTTCTGTTCCTCCTGTGTTATTAATACTGTCTAATGGAGGGGAGGGACTTCCAGGGGGAAATGTAGAGCATTTGAAGGCAGTTTCTAACCAATATGGTTTCATGGAGAAGTTTATTCTTTTTCAGTCATTAAAATGGTTTCTGTTAATATGTAATAGGTCTTTCTCACTCTCTACCAGCTGAGAAAGGGTATTGTTTAACTACTGTTAAACACCTACAGCAGGACCAATTATATCCTATAAGGTAAAGCCTTAAACCTGTAAAATAAGAGATAAAAAAAGAGCAATGTAAGACGTGCAGTGATTCACAATTCCTATTTACAAACTGAGAACAGAGCTGCTTGTGTGGCGAGCATCCAGCAAACAGGCTGAGGTAGTTTGTGTTGTGTCAGCTGATTCTTCTTTGGAACTATGCTAATACACTGCTTGCTTCTAACAATGCTCCTTGAAAACAGCACTTTTTGGCAGGCCTGCTTGGATTGTGTTTGTAGTGTCAGCAACAAACATATATCTTGTTTAGAAAGGAAATTAATTTTCAAGATGATACATGTAATGGTGTGAAGAGAGGCTGAGGGATGTGGGTTGTTTGGCCTGGACAAGAGAAGGGTCCATGGAGACCACAGGGCTGCTTCCAGTGCCTAAAGGGGCTACAAGAAAACTGGAGAAGGGCTTTGGACAAGGGCCGGTAGGGAAAGGACAAGGGGAAATGGCATTAACCTGCCAGAGGGGAGACTGAGATGACAATGGCCTCGCTTTTATTTTTTAAGGGAACTATCTTTTTGCTCTGTGTTTTACAGCACTTGGCAAATGAAGCTGGTAATTACCAGAATTTCTAAATGCAAATCTGACATTTATGAATTATTAATCTGTATTACCCTAAGAATGAAGCTTAGATGGATATCAGCATAGATGGATCAGAGGAGGCATCCGTCTGATGCTGGAGCACCCAGGGTGGCTTCTGGAAGAGAGGGCAATGCAGAACCAAAGGGCTGATGGGTTTGCTGCCACCACCAAAGTGAGACTGTCTTGGGGGTGGCCAGGAGAGCGCAGGTCCTGCATTGTCAGCAGGTACAGGCATTCTGCCAAGTACAGTCACCTGCAGACTGCATTTAGAGGAGCTCCACCTTCCTGCCCTTGACCCAGGTGTCCCTCCCAAATCCAGCTGTAGCCAACCTCTGGATTTGTGATCAAGTGAAACCTAAAGTTAAATGCTGACATCATTGTTCCTGAGGTTTCTAGTGGTATGGTATGCAGAAGAGCAGGAACCGTCTCAGGGTTTAATCTGCTCATGGGATTGTATCTGATTCCACCTGTTTCAATATTTATTAGCTAGTGTTTAGCAGAAACCTCCTTGCAGATGAATGACATGCTAGACAAGCACACAGGCCTCCACGAGCTATCCCCATTCCCATATAGATCATACCTTATTGTTGTTGAGAGCAGCCAAGGTTCTGCAGCAAAAACACACCAACTTCTCCTTGACTGTCTCCTACGAGAAGGCAGTCAGTGTTCTTAGCAAAGAGGACAGATGTGAATTTGGCTGTTGGGTTGGCAAAGCGAGACAGCACGGGCTCTAAGCTGTAGTGAAGGCCAGAATTAACAGGTCACATTGTGTTGACTGAGTCTGATAGGTGTTGCATGGTTTACTTTCTATGTTCTAGATGCACTCAAAAACTTAAGAAGTGAAGCAGTGTTTTGTTTAGGCCTCTACCAGAACAAAAATCCCATCTGCTATTAACTAAGATATCCTGGCTGCCTAAAATCTGTTCTATTGCCTGATATGAGCTGGGGGGGTGATACCTTTATTATACGGAGAATTTGTTTTCTGCTACCACCAGATCTGACAGGCCCCTTCTCCATGTGGACTTCATGTTGTGGTTAATACTGAATGGGACAGCCCAGCAGTGCAAGGCCACAGGTTAATTGAGGTGAGATGTGCACCTGCTTTACAGTAGAGGGGAAACGTGAGAGGTGCCTCAGCTTCTGACCATCCTGTCTTTATGAAAGATCAAAGTGTCTCAGTTCTTTTTACTTTTAACTGTGGCAGAAATCTATTATTTCTGCAGGAACAAAGCCCAGTTTGCCCTTTATCAGTTCCGTAAAGCATCCAGCTCCTTCTCCTGTATCACAGTTCTCTGGTAACTACCATGTGCTGTTACAAAATGAGTATTTTAAAATGCAATACTTTCAATAGCTGAGCAAGCAAATGCTCACTGATGAGTAACAACACTGATGAGGCAATAGTGTGCAGCCTTTGTGCCATTAAGTTTCAGAATCTTCTTTGAGAAAAGTGTTTACTTACATGCTGACCCTAAGATCCCAGATTTCTACTCTGCTTTCATTCACTGCTGCGAACATGAAGGCTGATTTTGAAGACCACATGATGTCATGAACAAAAGCACTAGCGGAACTGAAGGTTAAAACAGGTGTCTGTGAATCCCGGTGCCACAGAATAATGCTCCAGTCTGCAGAGCAGCTGAGGAACATGTCAGTGCTGAGAGGGTTCCAGGTGACTTTGTACACAGGACCCTTGGTGTTTGGGAAGAAACAAAGAACTTTGTGTTATTCTAGAGCTACAGCTTCCCAGGATGGTTCTTAAT